TTTAAAGTAAGTTACAGGACTTTTCCCTTCTTTTCTGGAGGGCTTTTATTTCACTAAAAACGATCTAATATGGATATCCACATAATTCCATATTAGACTCGTCATGAATGTGAGTTGTTGTTCTATCTTTTTTAACTTGGAGCACCCGCCCCTTTAAACGTCTCTGCACGGCCCTGATCACAGCACACCCATGTAAAGCACCTTGGGCCAACTCTATATTAAAAATAATTTGAACTGAACATACAATTTACAGGAACAATGTGAGGTTATATTTTAAAAGGGAAAAAAAATCAGAGTGAGGTAGTGGTTTAAGTGAAAAAATATCATTACGTTAAATGGTGCTTTTTAAAACAAACACCAAAGTTTGTTTCATTGTCGAGAAAGTGCTTATGGAAGAGATGATTTGACTTTGGTTACTCACATTTTACCCAGACTACCATAAATACAACAGGTTATCCCACCAAGCAAAAAAAAAATCCCGCTTCGGAAAACAGGCTCCTGGTGTTTCACGTTATATTCGAGGAAAGTTTAAAAAGTCGCAATGGTGAGCCAAGTTATAAAAATTAGTTCCACTGAATCCAAAAACGGTTGCAAAATCCGACTAACTAGTCTCACGCTGGAGCCCTGACATAACCTTTCCCAATAACCAGGTCACCCAACATATTTCACTTTTGTTTTTCAGATTGATATCAGGTGGTTGCTCTTGGATCGTACCTATGTTACACCATAACCGTTTAAATAAGTGATCTGTACTTATACTAAATTAATAGCACCGACGTAATCCTCTTTCAAAATGGTGCTGTTAGAAACTAATAGTTTAACTTAACACTCCGTTCAGTGTCTGCTGTACGCGTTTCGATCCATTTAAAATTGTAGGTGGCGGAATCGAGGAAGCGCAAACCAGATGGCAGCCTCACACGCAACCACCCCCCCCCCCCCCCCCCCCATTTCAGGTATTTTTGGCACATGAAAAAAACAAACAAAAAAACACAGGAAAGCAAATAAGACAAAACACCAGAATAGGCCTACGTGAAAGATGGAATCGGCACCTCCTTAACTACACGGCATCATTAACCAGTCTAATTAAATTAAAATAAATACTTTTCAGTATTCTATCTGAAAAGTTCTGTAGATCTTATCACACTCCAAACGAGGATATATTTGAAAACGGAAACATCCAGCTAGGTTAGTCTCAGTTTGTTTCGCATTCATGTAAATATTCCAGATGTTGTTCTGAGAATGCATATTTGTGATTAACAACGCAACAAGAAACTTTGGCAAACCTATCGTAAAAGTTGCATATGATTCCGTTGTGAAGTAGCGGTGCAGCGTGTCTTATTTAAGCGTAACCCGAAACCTATGTATATAACCCGCCTGGAACAAACAATTCACTCTTCCCAGTCCCTCTCTTCTTTTCGAAAAAGTACATAAACTCCTCACACAACATACGCGGTGATCTTACTCCAGTTACAGTAAAACGCAAGACTAACTACTATTTAGTTGCATAAAATGTACCTTTTTATACTTTACGATTTTTTTAAAGCAGTGTTTTATATTAACAGCGACGGACAAAATAAACACAGTAACAAAAAAGATCACGCTTTGTATACATCAAAACGTGCAACCCCGTTTTACATTTGCATAATCGAGGCGTCAAAATATTATGGTACGTAACGAATATTTATTAACGTCGAGGGAAAAGTAAGACATGAATAAGCCGCTTACCCGACTCTTTGGCGTTAAAGTTGCGCCTAGGTGACTGACTTCCTTTGGGTGAGACCGGAACAGCGCGCCTCTCAGTATTTATATGATAAGGGGTGGGATGGAAACGCCGGCGCCGCATCGTTACCAGCATCTGACGGCACGCCAGAAACCTGAAATCTATATTATTCCATTATAAACTTAAAATTAGCTTAATCAAAAGCGTTGGGGGCAATCTGTAAACCGTACAGACCATTTACAAAGGTAATGAAACTCTTACATAGGTCTATGTGTAAATGTATGTACAAACTTGTTAGCAACCCTGCATTAACAGAGATTTTCCTAAACTTAATCTGCGTTGAGTTTCCAGCCTTTTGATGTTGGCGGCCCAGTTTACGTCGTACAAAAAAAAAAAAAAAAAGTAAACCCTGTTAATGGTGAAAGGATCAAGCCAGAATGAAGCAGGCTGACTGGTGCTGCGGTGAGGAGACCTGTAGGGTATAACAGGGAAATTCGAGTGTAGTTCAGTCTAAGTTAATTTTTTTAGTAAATGAGCTTTATATATATATTTATATATGTCATTTTTTATGCATGATTCAGATAAAAAAAAATTATACTGATAAATTGCGAATATGGTTTGGTCCTCTGCATTAACAGGCGTCCATAGTTTTCCTCAAATGTACATCTTAACAGATTCAGCAAAAGTTTATGTATATCATAAGACCTAGGTATATACAGACAGACGTGGACAAATTTGTTGGTACCCTTCAAATTGATACTTTATTGATCCCCTTGGGGAAATTGTTTTTACGCCTCCCTCAACTTGCTCTTTATAGAGCAAGCTGTCCGCGAAGGGCAGCCACCCGTAGCAGCACCCAGGGAGCTGGGGATTGAGGGTCTTGCTCAAGGACCCGCAGACGTGCTGAGGCTGGGCTTGAACCGGCGACCTTGTGATTACAGGCACACAGGCTTAGCCCACTGAGCCACACGCTAAACAAAAACAAAACAAAACAAAACAAAAAACACACCTCTGAAATAACTTGACACTGACAGAAGATAAATGGCATCCCTCATTGTTTATTTCATAAGACAAAATCAGACTTTTTATTTATTCCGTTTTATATTATATATATTCACCTTATTTATATTAAACAAATGTAAATGGAAGACAAAAAAGATGGCACCCTTAATTTAATATTTTGTGGCACCACCTTTTGCGGCAGTCAATGCCAACATGCGATCTTCACAAAACGGAGCCCCCCCCCCCATGTGTCTCAGTAGGTATGATGTTCTTTTCTTTTAAAGCCTCATTTTTCCTTCTGTAAACACAGAGCTGATGTGACTGGCCAAATAGCTCCAGTTTTGTCTCAACAGTCCAAAGGACATTCTCCCAGAAACTTTGGGGCTTGTCAACCTGCATTTTGGCAAATCCCACTCTGGCTTTTTTTTTATGTTTTTCTGTCAATAGAGATTCAAGATTCAAAGCGTTTATTGTCATATGTACAGTGGAAAAATGCATTCTTCTCTATGCAATGAAATTCTTTCCACACAAAATGCCGAGGTACAATATAATAGAAAAAATTGAAAATAAATACTTTGAAGTGTAATGAAAAAGAGCTTAATGTGCAAAAATTACAGTATGAGGTAGGTGATGATGTCCATTAATCATACTCCTGTCAGATGTTAAGGAGTCTGATGGCAGTGGAGAAGAAGGAGTTGTTGAGTCTGGAGGTTCTAGATTTCACACTTCTGTACCTCCGTCTTGAGGGCAGAAGTGTGAACAGTCCGGGTTGGGGGTGTGTGGGGTCTTTGAGGATGGAGGCATGCGGTGGTAGCTGCTCTGTAAAGAGGGCAGCGGAGTCCTGATGATCTTCTCCGCACCCTTCACCACTCTCTGCAGGCGTTTGCAATCCAAAGCAGTAGTGCTGCTGTACCACGCGGTGATGCAGCTGGTCAGTGTGCTCTTGTAAGGCTGGAGGCTTTGATTGGATGATATCGTTTAGGACTTGTGGCCACATGTTAAAATTACTGTAATGTTATATTTGGTTAAATTGATGTGATATATATTAATTGTGAATAATCTGTGTTTTGATTACTTGGCTGTCTGACTTTGCTAACCTATGCATGTTTATCAGAGACTGGGGTTATTAACACTCTCTTGCAGCCTCTGACTTGACCCCGTTCCTCCGAGACCTGATACGACTGCCCAAGTTGAGTTACGGTAAAAGACCGGCTCAGCCTCTGAGGCGCGCACACGCTGGGTTACGGTAAAAGACCGGCCCAGCCTCTGAGGCGCGCACACGCTGAGTTACGGTAAAAGACCGGCTCAGCCTCTGAGGCATGCACACGCTGAGTTACGGCAAACACCGGCTTAACCTCTGTGGCCCTCACCAGCTCAGATTCGGCAAGTGTCAGACGATAGATTTTAATTGAATCACTTTTCACTAGTCATTGTTTCAATGGGCTGCAAGGGTAGCAACACATTTTTCCACGTCTGTATACACACACAGACACACACACACATATGGGAAGACATTTAAGGTCATATATTTAGAATATGCATATAAGCACGAATTGTAACGCAGCATAACTGTCTTGGTCATTTCCCGCTGGTTATCACACGGCAGCATCTAACAACTTAAGTGTAAAATGTGCGCCTTGAACAAAGGAATTTCCCGCATAAAATTCAGTTTGTTCAAACAACATATGGCATGTTTTCCCTGTCTTAAAATATAAAAAGTTCTGTTATACGCTGTTGCGTGGCTATAAAATACCACGTCTCTGCTGCGAAACAAGAAATAAATGTAGCAGAATTAAGGGAATTAGGAAATCAGAATACCCCGTGACTAAAGCCAGGACAAGAGGTTAGTAGACGGATGGATGGAAATGTGAATAAGCATGTGCATGGTAACTGCAGGCATGAAGGCCGGTTTTATTAACCTTTATTATAACAAAGACGCACGGTATTCCATGAATGTAATAGCTAAGATCTTACTTATTGAACGATTGTCGGGTGTGCCTTAGTCTGATTCATTTAAATGATTGGTGACACCTGTTTGACAGCAAAATATGCCGGCCTCTCACGACATTTCGTTCTGTTATATATATATATAATGTTATGATTATAATAATAATTATTATTATTTATCAATCGATATAAATGCAGAACCTTCCGTGATGGGATTGTACAGCTACAGTGAAAAAGAAACACTTTCTTTTTCTTAAATAGCCCAATCGTTTTTCCATCCTTCTTGCGAAGGTTAGGAATAAACTGCGATGAACTTTGGTGTCCTCTCACGCGACGATCTAAATTCCACGCGCTTTAAGCGCGAGAGGAGTGGAACCGGTACTGTGTGTGCATGCCTTCGGCTACGTGTTTGGCCGCATGTTTTTTTTTGTCTTTTCTTTTCGGCTTTACCTTCATGTAAGAACAACGCAGCTGCACCGATACAGATAAGAAACATACGGGCTTCTTTTGGCCAGATGGTGGGCGGGTATGTGTGTGTTTAGGAGTTATGTAAAGTTTTGTGGCTCATTGTGGTAAAGGGACATTTAAAACCAATTGTGAATGTGTATTAACGTTAAATCTCTCGGCTTTTTGCATCAGGCCTAGAGCTTTTAATAGATAAAAGATCTGTAGCATGTCTGTAAAGTCTTAATGCATTACAGACATTAAAAGGTTCGTTTCTACTGTAGCCTTCGATTTTCAATTTAAAGAATGCGTTTAAGCTGTTAACGACAAATAGGTTTCTGTAATATTAATGAATAGTGTGTATGCATAACATGTATTTGCATAACATTTGATGCACATCACTTATCTGCTTTGTCAAATGGGACATGCACATTAATAGGCTCACCATTTAACATGAAGACTAAGGCTTCAGATATTGACATCATCCTCAATTTACTTGTAAGCTCTGATTGTATCACAGGTGGTATGACACACCATTTAAAAAAAATGTTCTTGTTAATTAATCAGCATTGTGAAAAATGGTGCAAGATTAGTTGCAGTTTGGATTTAGGCATAATAATAATAATAATAATAATAATCATAATTGATACTTTATTGATCCCTGTGGGGAAGTTCTCTTTATGCCCCCCCCAACTTGCTCTTTGTAGGGTAAGCTGTCTGTGAAGAGCAGTCACCTGTTGTGGTGCCCAGAAAGCTGGGGGTTAAGAGCCTTGCTCAAGGATCCACAGACATGTGGAAGCTGGGTTTGAACCAGCAACCCTTCAATCACAGGCACACAGGCTTAGCCCACTGAACCACACGATGCCCCCAGTTGCCTTGGGAAAATCTTTTGGTTTCTCTGAGTATTGATTACATCCTGTAAAGTCATGTTCTGGGAGATGTGCTGATCACAAAGGTAACCACCAAGGTAATGTGTAAGAGTGCAGGTTTGTGACACGTCTGAATCTCGCAGCTGTTTTGAAATATGAAAGGCAGAGGTCAGCATAGGAGTACTGGGCAGGTTTGGGTGTACGAAACAGTCCTAATTGTCCTTCTTTCCTTTAAGTTGTCCCAACAAAAAAAATTCTTTAGTTTTCTTGGTTTAGGCATTATAAGGTGCAATCATTTGGAGTCCTCTTCAATTGTGCTGTCTGTTGAAGTTCTCTGCGATCAATGATTTCTCGGATAGCAAATGGAACACTAGACACCAATGACTGACCTCAAATTTGATTGGACAACACAAACACTATTGCAAAGCCAGGGAGAATCTTTGTTCTTTGGCATCATGCTATAAAGGGCAGGGATTTCTGATTATCATCACCTGGTACATTTAACCTCAAATGAACATTATTTAAAAAAAATCTTAAAATGGTGTCTTAAATCTAACACTCGAGCTCGGTAGTGTCTACTGAGTGACTTAGCTAACATGCATAAATTTGCACACCTAGCCATAGAAATGTTTATTTGTACATTTCTCTACATTTTGGAATTCTAAAGACATCGAACTATAAAATAACATATATGGTATTATGCACTGATCAAAAAAGTATTTTTTTTATTTTTTTTTTGGTGGTGTAGGTCTATCATTTGGGACTCAGAAGGATGTAGGGTCAAATCCCTGGGTTGGCAGAGTGACCCTTCCATCCGGCCCTTCACCAAGGCCCTTAGCCCCAATTGCTCCACAGACCTGCTGACCCTACTGTCTCCTCGGTCCCACATATGCTGAGCACACAAGGGCTGCTTTTCCTTCCTCCTCTCTACTGTGTTTAAGTCAGGCGGCCAGGTCACGAGATGCGACACTATCACTCTGCTTTGCTATTGTATCTCCAGCATCTATATTAACAGTAGGCTAAGGGGCAAACATTTTACAGGTTACAAAACACTCTGCTCTTCACTGCTGAAACAGAAAAGTATCAGGTCATGATTTATCAGGTCACAAAAAATGAAAGTCCCTTTAAAGACTTTATTAAAAGTCATCTGTCAAGTGCAAAATACATAACACACCTGATCCGACACGCGGGGTCCAAGACGCAACCTTCCCATAACTCAAGGATGTGGTAATGTAACAGTCTAACATGGCTGGAGAGGCATAAACACTGTGTGGAGTCAGAATTCATTGGTGGATTAGCCTCTTTGCTAAAGCCCACAATCAGACTTAAAGCTAAAACAAGATTGCGTGTCACATGATGGGATGAGTATCGATTGGCATCTTAAAGTGAAATGATTACGCAAGATGAGGCAAGAGACACGAGCTTCACTCACGCAAAGCTGCCGATTTCTCATGCACATTCCACGCTTACGATGACGAGCGTTTTACAGTCGCACAACTAGAGGCATTTAATAATCTGAACGGGCAGTCATGCACAGGAACGGAACCGGACCGGACCACCACTACAGTGCCTTCTGAGTTCACCAGTTACTGGGTTTAAAACTGCTACAAAATCAGCAGATTTTTCTTGACAGTGTTGGATTCACAGTAGATTAACTGAAATAAAAATCACAGATGTAATGACAAGCAGCTTATTCCATGAGACCATATATAATATACATATGTAATACCAAAACGCGTGTGTGTATAATGATTCCATTTCATGTACTGCTAATGTTAATGTAATTAATCCCAATCAGAAAAAAAAATCAAGTTTGTACACGTCTCGTCTTCACATCCCTGTTCAAACTTCCTTCTCTCTGTAGAAAAGCAGCATCGGAATGCAGTGAAACATTTAATTAAAAGAACAGACGCTTACGGGCTTATGATTTAGCCACACAAGGCGTGTCCGGGGGGGGGGGGGATCTATGGGCTCACGGTGGGTGCGTGTCCTTTCAGAACGAGCCAGACGCGTGTCGGAGGCTGCGGGTCACGTGCAGCCCAACGACGGCCCACGAGGAGACCTAGACCACAAACCTAGAAGGGTCTGATTCGGCAGAATCAGAAAAGCAGCTTCCTGTTGTATGAGGTACCATCCATCCATTTTCTGTAACCTATTTAGGGTCGGGGGGGGGGGTGCGGAGCCTATCCCAAAGGTTACAGGCGCAAGGCAGGGAACAACCCAGGATGAGGGGCCAACCCATGGCAGGACACAATGAGATACATCAACATAACATACAAACACCAACACACATAATTTCAAGTGACAGATGCCTGGTACACGGATTCCCTACTTGCCTGTGCACCTCAGTAACTAAATATAGCTAACATGTGACATAACTCCAAGGATGAAGATTGTAAATGGGACTGACAGTTAAAGCATTCCTTATAGGCATTACAGATTTTTTACTGTGTTTGTGTTACTGCGCATCTTATATAGGTAGGTCCATATTCCTGTTACATACGGCAAAAGTGATCTCTTGTACTGTTCCACAGCCATTTTTCTGGTCTTCACTGAACGCTCCCTGGAAGTGCTTCCCCTAAAGTCCTGTAGGGGGGGACAGAGGGCCACCAATCCGCACCTCACGCCCACCGGCCGCTGGACACGAAACTGCGACTGAAGGAGAACTGAACGCCGGAGTTTTTGTGCTTCCCCCAGGCCCCGAAAGGAACCACTATGATGGTGCCGTTGTCCTCGGCGCCGTACTGAAGGGCCTGCGGACGGAAATGGGAACACGGATCTCAGAAGTTCTCAAAGTCCGGACCGCAAATTAATCCGGAACCAGCCAATAACACATCTTATGAATCAATATGTTTGACGTAAAAGGGGTATCGTGGGTTTGAAGTACCTATAAAGTAATGCTTTGTAACAGGATTATAAGCAGGGATGCAAATACGCGTTATTTGCATTTGCGCTGTTACAACGAGAAATTACTGTGCATTTTAAGCTTTATGTGGCTAACTTGTACTTTTGCGCTATAAAGGCTAAAACATTGCAGTGATTTCTTGTCATAACAACGCAAATGCACATAAAATATGATTTGTGCGGCTACAAGTAATTGCCGCGTATTTCGCTTTATACGGCGAACCCGTACTTGCGTACCAGTTATGCGCATTCCTGATTATAAGACTTTTAAAATGTTACGTTTATTAATGTGCCCAACCAAGAGAGCTTAATAATGAAATAATAGAACCTCAATCAGTTTCACAAAGCCTGACAAAATCCTGGCTAACAGGACCCCGGGGGAACCCCGAGATGGTGAAGAGAAGAGCCGTGGGAACCGGGTCGGCAGCCGCGGCGTCACACCTGCTCCGTGATGATCTGGGCAGCCTCCTTGGGGTCGTGGCACTGGCTGATGACGTCGCAGATCTCCTGGCTGTTCATGATGAAGTTCACCCCGTCCGTGGTCAGCGCCAGGAATGAATCGTGAGCGTGGTGCAGCTGCAGACGGCAAGAACACGGCCCGGTCACCCCACTGGGTGGCGGAAGCGGGGCGGCGGAATTCCCAGCATCCTCCGCGATGCACTCACGGTCAGCCGCTTGGTCTCTGGCTCGGCGATCACGCCCATCTTCTTCAGGTCGAAGTCCCCGATGCTCCGCGTCATGGCCAGCCTGCCGTTCACGTGCGGCTGTCCCAGACTGTTCCACGTTATGAAGCCCCCGCTCTTTTTTACCCTGGGGGAGAAAACAGGGTCAAAGGCGGCAGCCGCGTAGCGTCCAATAGAATCACCTCGGGTCACATGATCTATTTTTATGCAACCTGTCACTTCAAAGGTTAGGTTAAGCGTCTCGGTACAGAAATAGACCCCCGCCTTGTGTTCCCTCCACCCCCCCCCTCACCTCTCCTTCTCGTCCCTTCGCTCGGGGGTGTGATCCACCGTCAGCTTGAGGGCCTTGCCTTTGCGGCACAGCAGGGCCCGGCTGTCTCCAACGCTGGCCACCACCAGCTCGATGCCATCCCTCAATAGGGCCACTGTGGCCGTGGATCCCGAGCTCTGGAGCGACGCTGAAACAGCCACCAGAGGGCGTCATGCGGGCGGCCGCGGCACGCTGCCACTCGGCTCTGTACCAACACGCCCCTCCCCACACCATACAAACCCCTCCCCCCTCTATTTAACCCTTTAAAACATGTCAAGAGGATGGGGAGGGCTGAGGGGTGTGAGCATAAACAGGTAAGGATACGAGGAGCAGGCAGTGGCGGGGGGGGGGGGGGGGGGGGGGGGGGGGGGGGGGGGGGGGGGGGGGGGGGGGGGCTGCGACAAGACGGACAATAAAAAGGTTTATTTTACAGCAGGGTTTCCAAATTTTATTAATATGGTTAATATCTATAAAAACTAAAAGTGAAACTCAGAGCAGGCAAAAATATCCATTAAACTAGTGCTGGCTGGCTGACACTCAGAGACCGCAGAATGTGGAGAACCAAGCCCGCCGTCATGTGACGGGGGCCCGAAGCCATCAGAAGGTCTCCATCACCGCTACACTAACAGGGTCCCGAACGTTCTCCACGGCGGCGCGGTCGGCCCGCTCAGCCTCCCACGTCACTAAATGCCAACGGTACATTTAACACTGTAACAAATCAATATTTCATAACCCTGCTGTAAAACGGCAGCATAGGAAATGAAGCGGAGCAAAAATAAAAATGTGAGGAAACACAAAGCGAAGATCAAAGCCTGTGAGCAAACTGCTCTATTGTCCTGCAGAAAATGACGGTCGCGTCACCGGCCGCTTGCCCTTCCAAGCCACACAAAACAGTTACTAATTTTCGCAATTTTTTAAGCTCCTGGTGGATTTGGGTCAGCAGCTCCTAGACTCTAAAGCAGAAACAACCACGTAACACTGTTTCCAAGTTAAGACGAGTAAACACAAAGTTTAGATGGATGCACAATTCATATTTTCATTCTGCAACAGGCTCAATATAGCAGTCTGCCCCTTCAGATAAATAAAAGAGGATGACAGAGGTAAGTGAATGGTAATTACTGTTAGGGATGTATGGCAGGGTAGTCTGGCAAACGTGTGGAAGCTTAATTTTTCTGCCGTTGTCATGGAAACTGCCTTTTCACAGACCCTCGGTTCTACTCACTGGAAATATGTGGTGGGAACGCAGTTCGAGACGGAATCTCGACTAATATTAAAAACAAGAAATGGTTCAGGCGCCTCAAGGATACTGCTTGTTCACGTGTGAGATTTAAGCAAACAAATCACAGATTAGGGATCTAAGGAAGAACAGAAACCTTGAGGCAGTTGCCATGACATCGTTAGTTAGTTGTGGCTCCTGACTACATGTAAAGTTAACAGATTAAATTACCAATTATTTCTACATCTATCCAGAGAGAGGTCACAGATACACAACCAAAAAAAAATCGCAGTCTCCTGACAGATTGTGCCAAAAAGCCAGTGGAATATATTTAATCAAATCATACGCACTCACTGAGAAAGTACTACAACGCTTGGCGTCTCAACTACAGCGTGAGAAGAGAAAGGATGTGGAACCTTCCAGTAGTCCAGGAAAGGACCCGCTGGACATCTGGGACAAAATCTATCCCCTCGCCTTCCTTTGACGCCCACCCTTACGGTGCCCGGCCCCTCTAGTTCTGGAGGCCGACAGCCGGGACAGCAGCTGTTTTGAACAACATGCACACACACAAGCAGATGGGAGAGTCTCGCGCGCGGCTCTGCTCACACATTGCATCAGAACGGTGATGTCAGTTACACAACGGAAAGTGACGAGAGTCATCCTTCAGGAACAGGAGGAGCGGCCAAAGGAGGACTCACCCCGAGTCATTAAAACTGAGGAGGAACTCCCCTTAGCGTGCCGCTGAGGCGCGAAGGGACAGCGAGCGGTCATAAACGCTAAACCGGATCAGTCAGTGCTGGGGTGGCTGGCGGGGGTCATGGAGATTAAACTCTGAGGCAGAATGAATTTCAAGGGAGTGCAACTCTACACAGCAGGGGCTCTCAAACTTACTGATCAAGGGTCCACATTAGATTTCTGTTCAAAGTCAGAGGTCCGGAACAATTTTCAGTAACAAAACAGCATTTCATGAACTTTAATGATGTAACAATAACTTTCAATATACTGTAGACATAAATATAGAACAAATATGGGAACTTAATGCAAAGACGGGTTCTCTGTCACGGTGGGGTGGGGGATTATGATGAGTTATATGCGTTTGAAGTTTGGTTGTACCGTACAAGAATTTCCAAAGGCAAAAATTTTTCAGCGGTGCATCACCTCAGTTGGCAGCTCCCATACTTCCTATTGGTTGACGAAGGTCTTTGTTAATGTCCAATCAGAACAGGAGTATGTATACATATGTAAACATTACTTAAAAGATACTTAAAACCACGCTACTCCTTTTTACGTCAACCATATTGATTCATAAGGTGCATTATTGGCTGGGTCTGGATTAACTTGTGGTCTGGACTTTGAGAACCCCTGCTATATAGATTAAAAACACAGCAAGATTGCAACAGTTATATCTAAAGTCCCTTCTAAAACTAAATATAGAGATCAGCCCAATCCACTTAAGCTCTGTTCTTTTCTTACTTCGGAAGAGAACATTGATAATTGTAACACCACCCCACACTTGACCCGGCCCAACCTACAAGAATTCCCAAAGGCAAAAATTTTTCAGTGGTGCATCACCTCAGTTGGCAGCTCCCGTGCTTCCTATTGGTCGACGAAGGTCTTTGTTAACATCCAATCAGAACATGAGTGTGTATACATATATAAACATTACTTTAGAGTTACATTCAGCCAGTCATGAAGAATCATATGTGATTGGCAAGCTTAATCAACTGTGATTTAAAAAAATTAAAGCGAGATATTGATTAATTTTTCCTCTATTTCTTACAGAACACTACAATCACATATTGTCTATGCTTTATTGTATCCCGTAATACAGTTTACAATTTACAGTGATTTCTCAGGTAGAAACCTGTCACTGTATGTTTCAATCCAGTGCTATACAAATAATATTTCATATACAATGATTATACACAGAAACTTAAGGTTCTCCTCTACAGCTAAGGGAGCTGGACAGCCTGGTGAAGAACTAGGAATAATTAACCTGTGATTTAGACATCATTCATAATTCAGCATTAATAGCCAACTAGAAATTCACTGGAGTTACAAGCAGCTTCTCATAATCAGTGATTAATACACTATCACACATCAATAAATTACACACATGCTATGTTATTAAAGGTCTGATTTTAAGATACTTACGGCAATCATCAAAGTGCAAATGTCTGGCGAAGGCCTTGTCGACTTCTACGAAAGCTCTGGACAGAACGATCTCGAGGTTTTCCTCTTTAGTAACCAGATCTCTAAAACAGCGATACATAAAATATAAAACACAGGACGCGGCCAACTGCCAGTCAACGGACACCATTAGGCCAATAATCTGTTTTAAATAGTAGGCAATAATGAATTAATTTGCAAAAAAAACAAAGCAGACTATTCCAACTGATTTCAGCTCGTACACTGTGCAGTCATCTTATTTCTAATGCTTAATATCGTATTATCCACAATACACTCATAAATACACATAATTGCATCTGCAAATAACAGGTATACAAGCCCATAATTATGTTGTATGCTCACACAGATATTGTCTGAATGAAGTTCACAGAAAAGGCATTTTTTTCAGACTCCTCCCCCTGGACATACACCTCCACCCTCAGCGGGCACCTACCTGATGTGTATCTCCATGTACTTGTGGCAGAAATCTGCCGCCTCCGCCCCGCCGTGGCCATCGAAGACGGCGAAGTATAGGATGCTGTCGGTCAGCTGAGAGGCCTGCCAGCGGTCCTCATTCTCCTTGCGCAGGCCTATCAGGGAGGCGGCGCCCACATTGGACAGGCTCACCTTGGGAATAGGCTTCCCATACCGGATGCTGGGAGGAAGCAGGATGGGCTCATCAATGCGGTCGTCCCAGATGCCGAAGGCATCCCAGGTGGTCGGCCGGCCGCTCCCGTCCGGGTCAAACCGCGAGTTGCTGGTCAGTACAGGAGTCGGTCCATGGAAGGGGCGCCGTGTTTCCTGCAGGGCCATAACAGTACGGTATGCCTGCAGCCTCATTCGAGACCCCATGGGCCGAACCAGGCCCATGAAAGCTACTGCAGACATCACAGCACCCGTGTGAAGCAGAGGGTGCGAAGGTAGGGGGATTTCTGGATTGCGACTCCAAATACAGGTTCTCCAAAATGCTGTCAATGGATGGCAAGGAGGAAGCAGAAGCCTGTAAGGGGATAGACAAGAATTTAGGAGTAGGATAGGTTTCATATTTTTAATATGACAAGACATTATCGCCAGAATACCCCAAATTTCACCAACTCTGGTAATGGTTCAAGTCTGCGTTAAAACCTCCGGATTTGCTAATCCGTGCATAATCCGATCCCGACGTTAACACACCGGAAATGCACATGGTACGGTTTGTCCATGAGCCCTTTCGGGTCGAGGACAGGAATGCGCACGGACGGGTCACGTCACGCGCTTCAGTCCTCCGAGCACTGACATAACGCTGCGCTAGGGGATCGCAACAGAAATGTCCATGACAGCCTTGCCTAGGGCCAGCACTCCCTGAGAGGGGTGCAGCTCCACGGAACACCACAATGCAGCACCAAGACGTGTATTTTACAACCCGCCGATAATGCGATGGTCAGTAAATCTAGTGTAAAACGGTGCTATTAATGCAACTGGTTGCTTTCATTTGAGAATCCGTTTCAGCGATCCGTTTCCAATATATATATACACATATTACAGAACGTCCCTACCGGTTTGCATGACGCAACAATCAGATTGTGTTATTTAGCATTACAAAATAGGAGGTGATCAGGGTCTGTGTAAATAGGCAACGTTACCCTTGCATGTATGATATATTCGTATTTCTGCAACTTTCATTCAGTATCGATGCTAAACTGGAAGCTCCGTCTGCTCTCCTGCGTCGTTTAATTCGTTGTAGTAAAGCGGCGAAGAAGCCCTTCAAGGCTTCATGGGCTCGGTAGCTGGAAATTTCGTTACCTAAAAAGAACGGATGTTTTGTTTCTGCCTTCGCTTCAGCCTTACCTTAAACTTAGTAAGACGATCACAGCAGAAAATTCTAGTCCTCTTCTTGCAGTTTAAAAAAAGGTCAAGGTTAGTCCCTTGAATTTCTTAAACCCGCAGCCCATCCTACAACAAGAGAAAACATCTCGCTGAATCGCATTGCACAGACGTGCTGCTCCACCAATCATATTACACTGAACACTGCGAGAACCAATCACGTACAGGCAAACGTTTCACTGGCGCTATTTTCTGATAGGCCACTGAATAGTGATTGTCGCGAGAGTTCCACCAATTGCCTCTAGATTCCAGATGAACTTCAGCGACAGTCCCTTTCGCCAAGCTATCAGGTCAATAAACAACCGATGATCTACACATGTCAATCTTCTGCATTCCTATTGTATTGCACACTATTAATATACTGCTAATACAGTACTTTTATGCATTTTATGCTACACAATTGTCAATTGCATATAAGAATAACGGATGAATAAAGGATAAAGGATGTTATATTGTCATTCCAAAGCATAAACACTTCATGTTGTACATGTAAACACTTGATGTTGTACATGAAGGGAATTAAATGAGGTACTGAGGTCCCGGTATAGGTAGAAATAATAGAAATAAAATCCAAATCAATAATACAATGAATAAGATAAAACAAACAAGTTAAACTAATTTAAAAATACATACGGAAAATACGAAGAACATTACAAAAAATAACATTAGGAGAATATCTCCAATATGATCATACCTATATTTTCTGTTTATTGCTTATTAATTGTTTCTTATTCTTATATATATCCCTTCTTCAGTAACCCTGGCACAAGAATTTCATTGTATTGTTCCGAACACGTGTGACAATAAAAGTTAAGACTATACCTTGTCCAGTGTCCTGTGCTTCCTGGGGTCGTGTAAAAGCTCTTTGTAACAAACCATCTTCAACAAAATATTATAACTTTTTACATACAAATGCATGACTGTGCTCTGCTTTGATGATTGCATAGCAGATACTACACGTCAGTTTTTAATTGGCACACTTCCTGTAAGCTGGGACTAGGAACCGTAATGTCCCTGCGTTGATATTTAGGAGGAGGTACGATACGTGGCTGAACGCCACTTCTGAAATTTGCACCAGTGAGTTCAGTCACATCCCAGAAGCCGACCGAGTCAGGGCGTGATGTACAGCTGGGGAGACGGCTCGCGTGGGCATCTCGGGCTTCGCCTGCAAGGCGCTGGCACAGCAGTGGCGGTGCCCCGAGAACTCGCTGACTTCCCCGAACAGGTGACACAAGTTGCCGCTGGAGAATCCCATACTCTGATTCTCAGCAATAGCGGGAAGATCTGGACATGCGGGCGCAACTCATCGGGACAACTCGGAAGACGAAAAGGAACGAACAATGTCCCAGGTAATGAATACAACGCGCAGATTTTCGTGCAGACTAGAGAGCAGGTGGCGAAGAATTCCGCTACATACATGCATGCTTGTGTATGTGGCAAATAAATCTTGAAACTTAATCGCACACTTAACTCATAAGTTTTTATTGTTTAATTATTTTGCATTCTCGTAAATAAGAACGTTTTGTTACCGGAAAAATCGTCACAAGACGCTAATTTTCGTACACATAAAGGCGTCCTTTTTGTATTGGAATACCTATAGCTATGATAAACCTATTATGTTGTATACATACCGACAACTTCAGCTCGGTTTCGCTTTCGTTTCTCATGAGATAGGAGTAACGAAACTTAATGAAATCATTAATACACCCATTCTCCGTCTGCCTCTCTTGTATTTTCTGCTCGAAATGCCATAGAAGACCACCAATTCACTACTGCATAAAACATAAAGTAATGCATTTGATGACAAGCTAGTAAGTGTAATCAGGCTCGCTATTAGTGAAATTTATAAAACAAATAGATGCAAGCGTGTAATTTTGGGTTGAGCATCGTGGAGGTTGAGGTCTCCACCCATTTAAGGGGGTCCAGGGGGTTGTATTGCCTGGTTTTTATTATTGTGGAGGGGGGGGGGGGGTACAACCTGAGAACCTGGGTTAGAGCATTGCTTATAATCATGATATTGGAAACGTCATACATACAGTACGTACATCTTGTTTGAAATGTAAGTATTTTCCATTTGTACTCGTGTTCGCGCAGTGGGAATTCAGAGACACGTCATTCTTGGTAAGCAAAGTGCAGGCATTGTGTCAAGTGTTATATGAACAATACCTCTGTTCAGTAATTCATTCATAAATTGGATCTAAGTGATGAACAGTGAGCTAAAGACTGGGTTGTACTTGGCCGTTTCAGTGGCATTGGATAGGCCAGAGAGCGCAGTGGGCGTGGCCAGCGGGCAGGAGCATTGCCTAGCGCTGTGTAAGTCGGGGGAGGTGCTGGCGTGGGGGCGTGGCAGCGAAGGCCAGCTGGGGACCGGACGCTTCGATAAACAGCTGAAGCCAAGGTAAAGAGAAAGAAGAGCAACGCGCATTTATTCATAAACAGGAGCTCGGTGTAAGGCAGTGTAATTTTCATTATGATAAGAAATACAGTAATTTGAAGAACTGAATCCATTGTTGTCAATGATGAACAAGATGACTATCACACAAGCCAACAAAAATGTGTTGAAATTAAAAAATTGCTGAAAAAGTAAAAAGAATACTTAATAATGATTAAAAATCATGACTGCCTTATATGTATTTTGCAGGATAATACGTCTAACCATGTCATCAAGTATGCCTACACCTGTAATTCAAGTTGCATGCGGAAAATATCATTCCCTGGCTCTGACTAAGGGTATGTAACTGCACAGTGGTGTTTAATTTATTGCTCAGTATGATGGCACATGTCTATGGTACATGTAAGACCCATAAACTGAGTACATGATATTGAAACCCTGATGCAACAAAGGCAGCATCTTTACCTGAGGAAAGTTACGTTGCCATTATTTAAAGGCTCAGGTGAATCTTAGCTTAATTGCTGGATTTTTCTTTTTATCCTGTAGAGGGTGAGATGTTTTCTTGGGGAAGGAACAGCTATGGACAGCTAGGCCTTGGCAAGGCTATTTCCACGCAGGATGTTCCCTCTCGGGTCCTCTCTCTTATTGGAGTGCCAGTGATCCAGGTTTGCGCAGGAGGAGAGCACAGCTTTGCCATCTCCCTCTCTGGGGAGATTTACTGCTGTGGAGCCAATAATGTTGGCCAACTGGGCCTCAACAGGGTGGATGAAAATGGTAAGTCTTTTATGATCACCTGAATTGAGGGTTTACTGTTCAAGACTTGGGACAAAGGTAGTCGAAGTTTTAATTTTTTAAAACAACAGAGCTTGAGTAAAATGCTTCCGTCATAAATATTGCATTGTTCCATGCTAACACAGAAACTGATCTTGTTATCACTGGCAGGAAGATTCACTGTATGTGCAGTTCCTGCTCTTAGAGCCCTTAGCGTGTGCAACATAAGCTGTGGAGAAGCTCATTCCGTGGTCCTCAGCAAGGTGAGATGCTGCTTTTTCTTTGCCATTTCTGGGATGTCCAGCACGTCTCCTTACGCTGCTCTGATTCGTAGGATGGTGATGTGTTCACCTTTGGAGAGGGGAAGCATGGCCAGCTTGGACACAACTCCAGGAATAATGAGCTGAGACCTAAGAAGGTGGAGGGCTTAGAGGGTCGTGCTAAACAGATAGCATGTGGCAGGTAACGGTGTGAAAAGTCTCATTTACAGAGAGGCTTCAGTCCACTTATTCCTATGCACTAGTTCCAGTGTAATTTCCAACACATGATTTCCTGTTTTGCAGCCATCATACCCTGGTGCTCATGGCATCCGGGCACCTGCTGGCCTTCGGGAATGGATCGGTGGGCCAGCTGGGGACCGGGCGAACAGAGAACCAGCTACAGCCCACCCCCGTGCAAGAAACCTGGAGATCCACTGGAGCGTCTGCAAATACTGGTCTGGATAAACCCCCTACCCCATGAAAATCGTTCATAGATCAGAAGATGATACTTGTATTTGATGTATGTTTGATGTGTAAAGATAAATGGTGACAATGGCATCAAGACACTTTTCGAAAAGATTGAAGGCGACGGCTGTTAACATTTATGATTAAATTTAATCAAATCATTTGATTAAAGAGCCGACATACCTCACCTTCAATAGCTGATGGTCAAGACACCATCATTGTTGATTATTTTTGGTTGTATTAAAACACCATTTATTACTGCTTTGCCCTGTAACACTCTCCAATCTCTGGTCTCTCAAAGACATGAAGATAGCAGCGGGTTGGAATGTAAGCTTCATTTACTCCGCACCACCTCAGGTAGTGTTTTCCTGTCACTGGGGTGGGTTAACTCAGGACCTTTAAAATTATATATTAGGGCTGTCAATAGATTAAAATATTTAATCGTGATTAATCGCACAACTGTCCATAGTTAATCACAAATTAATCGCAAATTAAATCATGAATTTATTCAAAATTTACCATAAAGGGATTTTTTCAGGTGTTAATATTCTTATCAATATTAGAGTTAGCAAGGCATGATTGCTTTTTGCAAATGTATGCATTAATTATTGGAAATCAATTACCAAAAATAAACAACAACAAAGATTGTCCAAAGGTCATCAGAAACCCTTCATCCCTTAAGAAAAACTCAAGCCGAACAACAGATCGGCACGTTGACCTGCTAAATATTACACATTACTTAGTCATATAACTAAGTATAGATCAGAAGTTGGCAACCTTTTTAAAGCAAAAAATCAGTTTTTATCCTAAATGTCTGACCCAAGATTTACAAAAAGACAAAATGGATAGAGAAGAGGATTTGAGATATGTTTTTTTAATGCAATATCAGTATATATGCATTTAACACAAAAGCAGAAGTACTTACATAAAATATAGAAATACAATTTCGGGGGCGGGTGGTGACGATTTACTACAAAAAGTATATGAAAGAATTACGGATCTCAATAAACTTAATAAGCTTATATCCAATCTCGGACACTAAAGAAAACTCCGGAAAGCATACCATTTGACCAGAGACATACTCTCGTAGAAAATGACTTTGAGGAAGATGTAAATTATGCAGTTAAGAGATCACAGAAGCGCGCGACGGACTGCCTCATTCACATATAGCTAAGGAAATACCTAAATGAAAAATAATATTAATCCATAAATAAATTATTTATATTTGCGAAAGTATTATCATAATATGTTAAGACATGAAAATGCGAATGTGTCTAACGTTCTGAGAAGAGCTGCAGCCTGCATGGTATTTAAGACTAGATGTACTTTGGTGGTACTGTAACTAATTTCACATCGACAGTAACTGCAAATAACTTTGGTCTTGTCAATGGACCCATCTGACAGTTTTGAAGCTGAACCTGCCATTCAAAATACCTTTTTCTTTGTTCATTATTTTTCCGGAGCTGCCATCTGACTCAACATGCGTTAATGGCATCAAAAAAAATTGTCACGTTATAATGAATTTCTATTCATGCCCTATTATCGTGTTAACTTTGACAGCCCTATTATATATTTATTTATATATACAGTGGTACCTCAGTTCTCAAACTCATTAGAACTCGAATTTCTTAAAAGTCGAACCAACCAGTTCGAAGAAAAATTACCTAGAGCTCGATCTGAATCTCAGAAGTCAAACCGTGAACTCTGACCTAAGATAACTTGTACGGGCGGGGAACTGAGTCACGCAGCACGTCTGTCAGCGGAAACAAAGAGTAAAGCTTCAGTCTCAGTCTCGCATTCGCTGTGATAGCATCGTGCATGTTTACACTAGCTGAATAGATATATTTAGACAGTAAAAATACATTTAGACAATGATAGACAGTAACAGTAATTATTATTATATAATAAAATACATTTTAAAATAAAGATTTCGTATTCATTATTTTAATATTAATAATAAGCCATTAATATGTTTAATTATTATAATAATATTGTTGTGCGGAGCGGGACGGAGACAAAGGCGCAGACATCACAGTATCGGGGAACACGGGGTTTAATTACAGGTAACGCAGACAAAACGCAGACGGACAATACAATGACCGGACTGGGGAAACAAGCTGAAAAACGGACAAATTACAGAGGGCTAATGAAAACAACTAGAAACAGCTGATCACACGGGGATTCCACAAGGGGTTAACGAGGGGGCGTGGCACACGGAAGGAGCGGACGATTGGGGCAGGACACATTGTTTAGATACATTTATTTTCTTACTTTACAAATTACTGTTTTGATAAATGTGCTTAGATGTGTTTAGTACAGTATATACTCTTCTTGTTTTATCCGGTTCATTTTGTGTTTAAATGCTAAAAAAGACATATTTATGTGTAATTTTTTTGAGGCCAGGAACAAATTAATTGGTTTTCCATTATTTCTTATGGGGAAAATTCAATCACAACTCGAACTTTTTAGGATTCGATCCGAAGTTCTGAACGGATTAAATGAGTTCTGAGTTACCACTGTATATTTAAAAATTATATATATCTCAGTTTTGGCTTAAAAAAATACAGTGTTCTTAAAATTTCAGACTGAAATCTTCAGCAGTATTGTGCATTGTTTTATGAATTTCCAGATAAGGTATATTTGTGATTATAAGAAGCTTTGTTAAGACTATGTTCCTTAGGAACCTGTTGAACATATTTTCGAGAAACTGCAGCGATGGTTTCCACTGACGCCAGACAATACTCATCCTGGGAATGTAGAAAGGTAGTTTTTATATATTTGTTTACAAGATGAATAATGTTGCAAGCACTTGCTTTGTAACACATATGTTCTAATTAGACAGTCATCTGTAATTGAATCAACTTTATCTCTTCCTCCTCTAGGGATCCTGCCCTTATCTTTTCATCAAGTTCTGCTCTGGTCGCAAGTTTCCTTAGAGAGAGGTGATTTTCAAAATACGGTCAACGCATTGTCATTAACAGCCGTGCATTTTGCTGACTGCTGTGCTTCTTGTGGTCAGAGAACCTCCTTTGGGTGACCCATCTTCTGTTGACCTACATGCTGCCAGACGGGTCTTCGGCCAACTGCAGGGCAGAAGTTGGATGGTAGAGTTCTCAATTCTTTAGAACTTCGGATATCCCAATAAAAATCAATATATTGTCAATAAATCACCCTTGATGTCCAACGAGCACTAAACACATTTCCCAATGGGGAAAAATATCTCCTGTTCATACAGGATGCAGCTGCGAAATTGGTCTCCGACCTTTTTCTCCATTCAAAACACATGAGATCAGTGGAGATCTTCCTCATACTGCCTGAATGTCAGCTGTTCCAGAACGACCAGAATATCATTGACTTTATCCAGCCAATGGCCAGGTCCATCATCAATTTACCTGAATCGTCAATCAAACGGCTGAGTACGTAAGCATTAGACAGAAATATCTAAGGCTACATGATGCATATGTACACCTGCCATCAAACACTAATACATTATTGAATCTCAGAGCCTATTTTCTTCCTCAGGAACCCTGTGGTCCTCTTTGGAGCTGGAGTCATTCAAGAAACACCTTGGCATGTGGAAACATGCTCTGTCCATCCTGCTGAAGGCTAACCTGCTTCCTGTGTATAATACGTTTGTGAAAGACTTACTTCAGATTCTGAAGGAAATGCACAAAGTTAGTGCTCACTTTTTATTGGAATGCGGGAGCAAAATGATTGTGATTGAACAATGAGTCCCAGCTAGGGAAACGTCATGGAAATGTTGAGGTTTCTGCTGCCTTATAAGCTCCTGTCATAGACAATATACAGCAAAATTCTTATAAACACATCACAATGTTGGGTTATGTGGTGAGAGTGGGTTAGTGGATAGATCTCTTGCCTCACATCTCCAGGGGATGGGGGTTTAACCCCCCCCCCTACTCTGTATGCATAGAGTTTGCATGTTCTCCCTGTATCATGTGAGCCTCCCTCTGGTTTCCTTGTGTAGCCCAAAGACACACAGTTCGATGACGAGAAGGGATTTCCCATAGTGTGTAGAGTATGCTGTCTTGTCACCTATGCTCCCAATAGGAAAGGCTCCGATGATTCTCTACTGGATAAATATTTGGAAGAAGATGTGACGAATAGTCATAAAGAGTTTGAATTGCATTAAACTGACTTCAAATTAATTCCATTCAATTTCACAGGCAAATAAAAGCAGAAAAGCATCTCAGACTGTTCCTGCTTCTGAATTTCATTTACTGGACCTGAATCTCTTCCCTGTTTTGTTTGAGGACTTGGGTCTGTGGTATCTTTGGAAGAACCAGGAGGTAAGACAGAAATATCTAAGGCTACATGATGCACATGTACCTGCCATCAAACACTAATACATTATTGAATCTCAGAGCCTATTTGAACATCTAGCACAGGACTTGTCAAATCTGGCCCTGGATTCCAAATCCAGGCCTTGTTTTCAGTTCTCCCAGGTAGTTAGTTTAGCCATTACTGATTCTGATTGGCTACAGGGGTGCAGACTGCGGTGTCTAATACTCCCATAAAAAGGGCAGCTTTGGGTCGCTCATGGGAGTTTTTCTTACACAAAAAAATTCTGAGGGCAGAACAGAAAATGACATCTTTGGTTCAGAAAGATTACCAATCACATTGTAGAGGAGGTGGGTCCAAGCAACTTGAGGAGACGGAGCCAAGACATCTGATTGGTTGGACCCACCTCTTCTGCAATCTGAACATTTCTGTGTAAGTAAAACTCCTATGAGCCTTAGGGACATGTATACTGAGAAGAAACCAATCCGAGGCCACATTCGAGCACATTCAACAGCATGCTGTGAGCCAGCGGCTCTACCTGCTTAGCTGCCATAACGTGGTGGATTAAAAACAGAGAATTAACTTGCAGTGTCCTTCTCACATTGACTTAAACTGTGAATTTATTTCCAATGCTAATCAGGAGACCCCAGAGACTCCAGCCATATTCTGCCGCTTTCCATTTGTTCTGGACCTTCAGAGAAAGACCTTTGTCTTTCAGTCGGCTGCAACCATGATTAAGGTGAGTCAGTTCACATTGCTTATGATTCAATATACAGGGACATTTAAAGCAATTGAGCTTAAATTAAGTGTTATATGCAAATGATCCTTATTGTTCCTTATACTGATCATTTCAATTATAATTAGTTTTGGTATCGAGGAGGTTATTATCACATGAATGTCATTGTCCATTCTCCGAATGGATACAGAACACTAGTTACTGGTAAAATGCACAATTTGCAGTCAGTGTGCGACTCTGCAGATTAAAACTCTGCCTGTGATCAGACAGTTGCTGGTCTAGGTCCTGTGGTCGGAGGGGTGATGCCATCATTGGGCCCTTGAGCTGAAAGCCTCCTGAGATGCAACACACTGGCTGACTCTGGGCATTAACCCCAGAACTTGTCCTTCCTTGCATGTAAACTATATGGACACAAGTATTGGGATACATCTCTGAATCATTGAATTCAAGTCAATCATTTACCTTGCCATGCAGTCAGGTTTACAAACATTTCTGAAAAAATAGATTGTTTTGAAGAGCTCAGTGAATTCAAGTATGGTGCTGTCATATGATGCCATCTTTGCAATAAGTCAGTTTGTGAAATTTCTTCCCTGCTAGATGTTCCTCGGTCAACTGTAAGTGGTATTATTGCAAAGTGGAAGCGGTTAGGAACAACAGAAACTCAGACATGATGTGGTAAACCAGGTAAAGTAACAGAACGTGGTCAGCGAGTCCTGAGGCCCATAGTGCGTAAAAGTTGCCATTGTTCTATTGGCTCAGTAACTGCAGAGTTCTTCCTCTGGTATCAACCCCAGCACAAAAAGCAGACGAGCATGCTGTCACTGGATTCTGGAGCAGTGGAAATGTGTTTTGTAGAGTAAAAAATTATGCTTCTGTGATTGTCAGTCTGATGGTTGAGTCTGGGTTTGGCAGGTGCCAGGAGAATGTTACCTGTAAAGTTTGGTAGAGGAGGGATAATGGTATGGGGTTGTTTTTCAGGGGTTGGGCTAGGCTCCTTAGTTCCAGTGAAGGAATCTCTTGTTTTCAGCATATTAAGACATTTTGGACAATTCTATGCTTCCAACTTTGTGGGAACAGTTTGTGGAAGGCCATTTACGCTCCCAGCATGACTGTGCCCCAGTGCACAAAGCAAGGCCCATAAAGACATTGGGTAAGTTTGGTGTGGAAGAACTTGACTGATCCGCACAGAGCCCTGACCTCAAAATCTAGTGGAAAGCCTTCCCAGAAGAATGGCAGCTGTTACAGTTACAAAGGGGGGACCAACTCCATATTGATGCCTATGGATTTAGAATGTGATGTCATAAAAGTCCCTGTAGGTGTGATGGCCAGGTGTCCCAATACCTTTGTCCATATGGTATATATTTGGGTCTCATGGAGAGCAACATGGGATATGCAAAACCTACCCAATTTCTCCACAGAATAATGAATAATGTATCTGTATTCTCTAACCTGCCCCAGCAAATCCTGATGTTCCAGATGTGGCCCATTGTGACGCCACCACTGTGTCTCCCGCTCCGCCGCTTTGCACTCATCGAGGACACATTCCAGAAACTCAGCACCATCGACCACGAGAACTTCAAGAAGGATCTTGCGGTAAAAAATTGATAGGTTTAAAAAAAGCAGCGTCATGTATGAAATAAAGTGAGAACTATCATGTCTCCTGTTTTTTTATTAGTTATATACTTTTCCCTTTTTCATGCTAGGTCAGGTTTGTGGAGAGGGAAAATTCAGAGCTGACGCTTCTCGACCGAAAGGACTTCTTCCTTCAGATTTTCAAGGAGCTGTTTTTGCCGGAATCTGGAATGTTCTGGACCAATGATTCAGGAACGTTGGTGTGGTTCCCTGTGAAGGTGGGGCTTTGCGCATTCTAAGAGCTATCATATTTACATGGTGCGTAAATATATAGGAATCCATCTTGTCTACTGGTCAGGGTCTCCACAAGGGGTGTTGGAGTCTATTCCAGGCAGCACAGGTCACAGGGGAGAAGACACATACACAAGACACATACACAAATACCACAGGAGTGTTTGGAGACACTAATTCACTTAACTTCTTATTCGTTGATTTCTGGAAGAAATGAAATTCCCAGAGGAAACCAACACAATGAACATGCAAACTTCAGACATTTGGTGTAGGCCTGACTTTTGAACACTCCACTCTTTTGGTGTAAAACACAACTCCATCCACTAGGGGTCTTGCCGAACTGTGGTTTTGGATACACGGTTCGGTGCAATTTTGGTACCGCAGTTCTGAAATGTGTTAGTAAATATGCAAACTGACACAGTTGAGAACAGCTATAAAGCAAAGGGAAGGTGACTGTGAGCGTGTCAGAATGACAAAATCTATCAGATGCTTACTTGGTTATTGTAAACATAAATATATAAAATAATCAAAAAATATAACATTATAATGATCATAATGAACTGAATCTCATCTAAATCCTGTGTTCTGTACTGCCGACGACTACTTGTGAATTTAGGTTCTGCCCGTTTCAGTAAATGTAATCATTCATTTCATTTTGTGTACTGTATTGAAGGTGATGTATCGAATGGCACACGACGAAAAGTGTACTGTTAAAACCGTACTACCTACTGATGCAAGTCATCCATATATGGAAATCTATACTATAATTCTCATTATCACAATTCATGGTTATTATTGAACTTTAGGAAATATTGAAAGGACAATTAAAACAATGAAGTCTAGTTCAATTCTGATGCAAATAAATTGCAAAACATTTAAGACCCTCCTGTTTCTCTTGACCAACAGCCCACGCAACCAATGAAAAGGTACTTCCTGTTTGGGGTCTTGTGTGGACTAGCTGTACACAACAACAACACTGTGCACCTACCATTTCCCCAAGTTCTATTCAAAAAGCTGTTAAATGCAAAACCCACATTGGAGGACTTGAGAGAACTCAGCCCTGAACTTGGAAAGTGAGTCGTGTTGGTATGTGTATTTGAACAGGTCATAACATTATTAAACAGTCTCGAGTGGTTGTCTTTCAGATGAATGACCTGTTTATTGATACATTATTGCATTGATTTGAAGGAATTTAAAGACAGTATTTACGTGATTCTCTTTGTAGTACTTTGAAGAACATCTTGGAGGACAGAGATGATGTTGCAGCCATGGACCTGACCTACTCAGTACGTGCTAAGCTAATACCAACAGCTAATTGAATAACATGTGATTCCCTTTGGGCCACTTTGCACATACAGCTACACACTGTACTTCTTCATAACTTTATTGATAAAGCTTCTGTTGTTTTTTTACCAGGTGAGCTGGGATGGTGTAACTGTGGAACTGGATCCCACTGAAAAAGACAAACCTGTCACCAATGCCAACAAGTAAACCTTTATTTGTTTACCACGTATAATGAGTTATTTTTTCTTTCAAAGTCAGAGCTAGAATTAAAATATCTAATTTTTAGCTGTTAACCTACACAATGTACAATAGCTTCCCTATTTATGAATGTAGATTAATTTTCAGTGTTTTTTTCCACAGATATGATTTTGTCAGGGCCTATGTTGATCACATCCTAAACAAATCAGTGGAGACGATCTTTGGGGAGGTCAAGAGAGGCTTCTTCACGGTTTGTGACGTGGACTTGGTGGAGCTCTTCCAGCCTCACGAACTGATGGAGCTGATGGTGGGGAACGAGGAATATGACTGGGAGAAATTCAGACAGGTTGATAAACCATATCGCCCGTAAACATGCTGCCTATAACGACAGACAGAAAGGGTTTGAGGGGATTCGCAATGAGACCATTTCATGATATAACCACTTACATTCTCTCCAGAACTCAATATATGAGGGAGCGTACCAGTCAAACCACCCCTACATAAAAATGTTCTGGGAGGTGTTTGAGGAGCTGTCAGAAGATGAGAAAAGGACCTTCTTCTGTAAGTTCATGGGGGGGTTAATGGATCATATTGGAAAGTTAGGGATTAGTTGCTGAGACTGTGAGTTGGTGTACTATGTAAAAAGGTAAAAGTAGTAGTGGGTAGTTCAGGTCCAGAAAGTAAAAATCCAGACCAAGATTTTGTTTCAACCAACCAGTTGAGTACTCTGTGACTATGGGTTTGACTTCATGCAGCCACTTACAGCGCTGGCTTAAAGCAATGCATTCTGGTCCATACGCAATGCATCATGGTTAGATTTTTTTGTCCGGCTTCAGCCGGCGCTGCAAAACGTCACCACGCGTCACCATGTCACATGGTACAAAAACCGACTTGAGACAGATCGTGCAGCACCTCTCAGCCGGCTGCATTAACTGGAACCATGACGACACACCTTTGCCCTTATTGGCTGAAGAGTTTAGTTACACGCATGACGTTTGTATCCCAGGCAGTTCTGATGCGTAATCTGCTATTTCTCCCGAAAAGCACGTAAAGCAGTGAGAACTGGTTTTCAGTTAATTTACCTGGTAAAATAAAGTTTAAGTAAATGAAATAAATGCTCTAATAGTACACGTAAGTTAGTGGTTTATTTATTGTTACTTACTGTAATGTTTCGCTGCTTTATTTGTTTAATCGTCTACTCTGTGAAGAATTAAGGCATTCAAGTAAGAACTGCATTGTACTCTGTACATGACAATAAAAACATCTTTTTTTATATGAATCCTTGAAGTAAATGTATTTGATCTTTTTTCTGGCTGCTATCTTTTTACACAGAGCCAGTATAAATATTTTTTTCACTGCTAACAGTTTGGATGAGGAGTTGGTTGTTGTAAAAGAAGTAATGTGCATGCAGGTGATATTTGTATAGATTTATCTACACCCTTCTGGCAGTGCTGCCATTGCAGTCAGGTCTCGCAGACTACGAGGAGTAGAAGTTGTCCGACTTGGCTGCAGTCAGTTTATACTCCACCCCTGCAGCTGCCGGCAGATCGCGTTCCACGTCACGTCAGCTGCAGACAGACCTAAGCCCAAGTCGAACGCACCCTATGATTCTTTATAGGTAACTGGTTGGTTGAAACAAAATCTTGGTCTCAACCGGAACTATCTATCTCTAGGTAAAAGTAGCATGCAGATGAAAACATTATGCATTTCATTATGGTTGGGGAAATGTAGATTTTGTTGTATAACTCAGCCGAGTTATTTTGACCTCTTCTGAAGCAGTGACATGGGCTCTTCTGTGATTTCAGTATTTCTGACGGGATCTAAGCGAGTACCTATCCTGGGGATGGACCAGGTAATAATGAGGGTTCAGTGCCGCCCTGAGTGGACTGAGGACCACTCCGCAGAGGCCCTTACGTGCCACAACCTTCTGTATCTGCCCATCTATCCTACGAAGGAGATGCTGAAGACCAAGCTCATTCATGCCATCACACACAACAAGGACTTCTGGATGGATGAGTTTAAGGCAGCTCAGCCTTAATTGCGCCTCCGTGGGCTTCACTCAACTTCACTTAAAGTTTCATTCACTTTCCAAGCACATCGTTTCCCCCAGGATTTGCTCCTTAGATCAGTGTTTCTCAACCTGATCCTCGGAGACCCCCAGCGGTCCATGTTTTTACTCCCTCCCAGCTCCCTGCCAGACAGTCCAAAATGTTGGTCCTTCTGGGAGGGAGCAAAAACGTGGACTGTCTGGGAATCCTCAAGAACCAGTTGGAGAAGCATTGCATTATATCTATCTATTTACTCGAGGTATTAATTCACAGAGACTTACAGTTATTCATATGTATATACAATCACATTAACTGCATATATAAAAATCAACACAGAATCACATCAATAAAACAAACATAATAGATATGTGTTCGTCTAATTCCAAGGTAGTATAGATATATATACAATACAGTAATGTTAATTAGTTGTATAAGAACCAGAAATATTACACACTAGTTTAATTTCATTTTATTTAGTTTGTTGTTTGTTTAGTTTGTTCATACTGAAAAATTCCTTCTAAAAACCAGTAGACATTAATTATTCAAATGCGTGTCTGTAGATCTTCTATAGTGACAAAATATTAATCTGCAATTATAATGGTGAATAAATATTGGTTATATAGTCTTTTATTAATAAATGAATTTCAATTAGCAGTTGTGGTGTGGATGATTGATCAGGTTTTGTTTCAGTTCTATCTGTGACGTTGCTAAATATTTTGGGCCCCATGAAAGCATATCATATTGGGCCCCCCAGTCCAGACCAATCCAGTTATTTTCCAAATCTTTTAGGACCCCTGTCACTCCGGGGCCCTTGGAATCCTCCTAACTTTCCCCCTCCTTACACCGCCCCTAATCTGTGATACGGAACCAAAATGAGTATTCGTGTTATTACGGTAGTGCAGAATTAGAGGGTTTGCTCCATAATTATGCACGCTGAGTATGTGTCGCTCTATAACTGATGTTTATTGTGATAACACGTTGCTTCGTCTCCGAGCCCGCAAGTACACTCCAGCGTAAAAGACATAACATGGCGTTAGACCTGCCATTGCCGGTCACTGCTAGCCAGTTACAGCAGCATGAATATTAGAAAGAAAAGCTCGATTATGCACTTAACTGAAATGGAACTAAGCTGTGAAAGGATTACTAGGATTTTAAAGTCTTCCATAGGCATACATACTGCAGGATGTAGAAATCCTTACACTTCAGTTTCCAACTCGCATGTCCTATTAGTGGTTTCAGTGATTCGTCACTAACGCTATACAGATAAAATTATCCAGAGCTTTTGTCAAGTTTACTGTAATTGTAACATTCTTGTTCAGTATCTATCATTTATTGTCGGAAGTGGGCTAGGTCCTTCACTGCCGATAAGAAGTAACTAAGTATCAATTAAAGTTATAATATGCATTTTAACCATGGATGAAAAATAATAATTTAAAGTATATTTCCCCCGCGATGCCCGTTGGTACCCCCATTCTGGGTTGTTCCCTGCCTTGCGCCCGTAACCTCCTGGATAGGCTCCGGACCTCCTGCGACCCTGAATAGGGGAAGCGGTTCCAGAAAACGGATGGATGGATGGATGGATATTTCCCCTTCTCTCTTGCAACCGGGATCCCGAGGTGTTTCGTCGTGCGGTGGGACCGCGCAACGCGCTGTACCAATGCATGCCCCCAACTTGACCTGACCTTATATTTTTCCAAAACTCCCAATAAAAATAACTATTATTAATGATTATGGTGTTGATGATAATGGTGGTTGTCCTTTTGCTGACGATGATAGAGTGATAATAATAACGGTGGTTATTATGATGATTATTAACAATGACAATGACTGTGATGATGATTCTGATAATGAACGGCAATGGCGCCCCCCCCCCCTGTCCCGGCCCCGCGTGTACCTCTGCCGGATACCTGTGACGGACATGTCACATGATCAGTGACGCGCGCCGATAATCTGCATCGCTACTTCCTTGTTATCGTCGAGCTTGACCAGCGATCCGGGAGTCCAAATGCACAGGTAAGCACTATAGGATTTCGCTGCCGTTTTTAATGCTTTATGTATCCTATCCCCAGGCCATAGCTGGTTACGGATTGATGTGGCTTTTGGCCTCTCTCTGGGGAAACTGGCCCGGAACGAGGGGGGAACCGCGACGCCTGAGAAGCTTTGGGCTGCCCGGAGATGGACCTGCCTGGGTGTTATCGCCGTGTTAGAAACGGTCGCCTTCTTGTGTTCGGCCAGTTCCCTGTCGGCACGGCTGTACTCCCGCGGGTCTTTTTCGGTCAAAACAGACTAAGTGGCTCCCGCCCCTCTATAACGGGCGGATTTCCACTGGAGGGGCGAGTCTGCCGGTGGCGAGTCCGCCTCCCAGGCGCTGGGTAACGGCATTAGCTTGTTAGCCAGAGCCACGAAACGGGCGTCCCCCGGTTAGCCCGTCGCATCGGCCCGGCCGCCCACAGTCCAGTTTAGTTTACTTTAGTGTACTTTGGTTAACTTACTGCTGTCAAATGGCACCGTTAGCCGGCTAGTTAGTCTGTCTGTCCGTGTCTCCGCGTAAAGCCCCTGTTATCTTGGAGGGTAGCCGGATACCTACCTTGGAAAATGCCTTAATTTTTCCTAAAAGACTAAAGAGACTAATTACCTCATGAATAACTAACTGGGAGATCGTGCTTTATTTAGTCGGGAGCCCTATTTGTGTGCTGATCTGGTTGTCATTACCTTCTTTCGTATCTACTTGCATGCATAATTTTAAATTCGTTGCTTTCAGTTTACAATCCCTGAAACGTATCTGAAAATGTGCAAGGATGCACTGTAAAATAGACTCGTTGTGCTTTGAAATACACGGTGTTTTTAATTTTGTAAAATAAGGAGCTTTATACGAAGCTGACTTGTTTCGTATCAGTATTTTTAACTGTCGTTCTGTCAGTATTTATTAATGTGTTGAGAACTTCGAGTACCCCCATATACCCGTGATAAATGCTGTTCAGCCATGGTTATCTCCCCTGGAGGAACTGTTGTTTTCAAATGTGGTTTATGTACAGAAACAGAACCGGATGGCATCAGATCCAAGGTGGTCATCACGAAAACTAGCAGTGAAAATCAGCTGATTTAAAGACGCCAGTTGGTGAAAGAAAGAAACTGGAAGTATAATGTAATGTAACCTACAGTGCGAATGACGACGAGCTAGAGTTGTGGAAGGAGACATAAACTTTTAATTTTCGTTTTGTCACTGCCTGAATAGTGGCGTTTTAAAAGTGGATTTCATCTCTCTTGCTAAACAGCCCTGAAGATGCTGATGTCCTACCCAGGGGTTGCAATGTGGCGAAAGTTATCGGATGGAAATGAGCAGTGGTCAATTTGGGATCATTTTGAATATGATCCGATTTACCACAAAAATCAGCTTATCTTTAACCAGACTGAGGTTATTTAGTTTGTATATTGGTCTGTCTATCTGTCTTTACACAGTGCACGACTGCTTCAATGAGAATTGTACAGTTGCTTATCTTTGTGATTCTCATCACGGTTTCTGTACCACGTAATCGGCGGGTTCATTAAAATTATTACATCAATTTTGCGAAAATTTTATCGTTAAATGGCAAAAAATACGATTCCCAGACAACCGAAATTTTTCCGTATAATTTTAGCAATTTCACCTATATACATTTTTAGTAAGCATATCGTATGTGGAATATTATCATTCTGACCCATCGATTACGGGAATAAGAATCAGCTTAACATTACCCCTTTTTCGGTTGCTTCCGAGTGAGAGGAGAAACGATCCGGAAGGTAGTCTTACAGACCGGAGTTTTTTTTTTTCGTTTTTGTAGGAGAGATCCAAGGGCGTAGATTTGGGTATGGACGGTAGGGACCAGTGTTGTGCGCCTACCGTGTGTGTTTAGAGGGGCGCGGTGCGGGGCTTGGTTCCTATTATAAGGCTGATGGTTGAATCCAGATTGCAGATGATGGAGTTCTGGGCCTCAAGAGAGGCTTTCTATCCTTCCCATGCCCCTGTGATGTTAGATGTATTTAGTACCCATGTCTCCCAAGTTTTTGTGGAAAGACATTTCCCAGTGTACACTGTTCACACAAGGTTTGAGATATGGAACCACCACTTCTGTGATACTCTGCACTGAAAATGCATACTTTCATTGACCCACTCGGCACTGAAATATGTTCTGTGGAAACCGTTTGCTTCTCCACCTCTGAATGGTATGCTGTCGGGGGCATTTTAAACACCTTTTACCTAGGTTAATGCTCAGAAAATGACATTTTAAGTCTAATGAAATTTTCAGTGCTGTTATAACCCTGATCAGATCAAAGGTCCTTCTGCAGTGGCCTGAATGCAAGTCTAGTTTGCTGTGGAGTTGAGGGTGCTTCTGCACAGCTTGCGACTTCGTGGTTTAAACTCTAATTAGCACATACCGGTCTTCTCTGCTCTATCTAGACCCTTGCCTGCTGTGGCAGTCTGACAGACATCTCTGCCAGAAATGCATTGCACTGTTATGTTAGGCTTATTTATACACTAGGTGAAGATGGCCTTCTGTGACTGCAGGAAAGTTAACAAATATGCGCTTTTCGTGACTTTTTTTTTATAGTTGATTGTCGTTGCTGTGGTTGTTTGTTGAATTTTCCCCTATCAGGAAGAGGACTTTTTAAAATTTCATTGTATGTTGTGCAATAAAGGCTGTTCTATTCTGAAATGGATATCGGTAGTTTGATACTGAAATAAGTTCAGCCTAAGCTCAGAGCATTTAACCACCAGCCATGCGGTGCTGGGCCCTTTACCCGCATACTTATCTCAGTACTGGAGCTCGGAGCTGCTGCGTGGTGGTCAGCCAGAGAGTGTCTTGAGCTGTGGGTTAATCCGCGGGGCTTTTTTTTTAAGAAAAAAATATTCTAAATGTGGTATGGTTTCGTGCTCAATTATTTGCGTAGGGTGGCCGCTAATCACGTGCCAGTGTGCGGTCAGGAGGCCTGCGGTCAGATGCCCAGTGCTGGCTGGCCCACAGCAACAACTCTCAGCCAGAGCTGTGGCTGAAATGAACGATTAACCTCGAGGGGAGCCGCGGTGACCTCTCAGCCTGCCTTCACAACATTCTGCTGAGTGCTTTGTTGAGCTTGAGAACCAGAAGAGAAACTTTAGTATTTGGTGCTTTTACGCTCCCCCCACCAATCTCCTTGCAGGTTGTGAGAGTTTTTATTTTCTCCCTCTACGTAGTTATGAGTCATCTGATATAGCTGTAATTCCTCCCTCCCTCCTTTAGGCCTACAGTCTGCCCTAAAGAGAGTGGACCGGGCGTCCAAGCTTAAGGCCTCCCCAGCCCTGAGCGACCATGCTGTGCTGGGGCAGCACGGTGGCCGGCCAGCTGGGCCTGGGTGACTCGGGGCCCATGGTTCCCGAGCCACGCTGCTGTCGGGCCTTTTTCGGCCGTGGCCTAAGAGAGGTGGCCTGCGGAGGGAACCACTCGCTGTTCCTGTTGCAAGACGGCAGCGTCTACACCTGCGGCTCAAACAGCTGCGGCCAGCTGGGTCATGGGAAGGCCAGCGACATCCCAGGTACGTCCGTCCCCGGAAATAAACCTCACTCCCCGCACCGGGGCGCTGATTAGTTGCAAATGGCAGCCCAAGGAAAACGAATGTAAATAAAACCAGACGTGTCCCTGGCCCTCAGCCAAATAAATGTACCTGCTTAAGGCTACTGATAAAGAAACCATGTGAATCTTGAATAGTTATTTGTGGAACGACAGGTTTTGTGGGGCTGAGGATGCTTTCGTTAAAGGCAGAGATGTGTGTCTAAGACCAAGTAAAAGCTGCCAGGGGTAGTTTCCCTGCATTTGCACCTTCCTTTCTTGCCAATGCCACCATGCAGGATCTGTTTTATGTACATAGTCAAACTGGGGAGCTGGTCTTAACTGCAGCTGTAATCTGTGTACCTATGCCTGGATGGTAGCATTGGTTCATTGCACCTTCCCTGGGGATGTGACCATGTTTGCTGACCCCATGGTACTCTGGGATATCGTGGGGGTACTGTGGGATGTTCCACTGTCCTCTCACGACTCGGAGAGATCTTGCACTTGAGTCGGACTCAAATCATAAATTTGATGACTTTTGACTAGACTCGGCAAAATTGATGGAAAGACTTGGACTCGACTTGGAATTGAGTGCAGTGACTTGAGACTTGGACCAGACTTCGAGACTATGACTCGAAGACTTGAGGTTATAGTCCCCCCTCTGTATATCATATCGCTAATTTTATAATATCTGTGTATATTAGTTCTCTGCTTTCTGCGTTTTCAACTGGCTGAATGCACAGTCTCCTGAGAGAGTTTGTTGGAAAGATGCATCACTCCCTGCCTATTCATGGACATAAAAACTGTGTGAGGATAACCGTTGAGTAGACAGTCTTTCAACCTGTCTCTGCCTTTAAAGAACATATCCTGTGACATACTGTGGCGGGTTTTTGCTGCAGCAAGGTAAAAACAAAACGGACATAGGTAGGGACTCAAGTTACATGACTCACAACTCGACTTGGACTCGAGTCACAAATTTGATTTAACTTGTGACTTGACAGCAATGTTTAGACTCGGACTTGACTTGAACTTGCCAAGGAATGACTTGTTTCCATCCCTACCATATAGTGTATGTCTGAGTGTATATGTGCTATGTCAGACCTGAGTGAGCTGTGATGCCCCCTGCTGGTGTGCATATGTGGGGACTTGGTGATGGTTTCACGGCACTGACGCCCCGCCCCTGCCCGCTTTTCAGAGCTGGTCGGGGCTCTGGATGCACAGAAGATCGCCGCGGTGTCCTGTGGGCGCTCCCACTCGGTCGCCGTAAACGACCAGGGCCAGGTGTTCGCCTGGGGGGCGGGTGGCGGGGGCCAGCTGGGCCTGGGCACTACGGAGGAGGCCGTCAGAATCCCCAGGTGGGTCCGTGTCCTGCACCCACTCACAGATGGATGGCATGAGGCGAGACGTTTGACCCCCTGGGTCTCTCTCTTCCTTTGGTCACCTAGGTTGGTCAGGAAGTTGTGTGAACATCGCATCTCCCAGATCATGTGTGGCAACCACCACTGCATTGCACTTTCTAAAGGTAATGACCTAAAGGACAGCTTTCTCCGTTCCTAAATGACGGCACTTTGTCGAAGCTGACTTTTGACCCCATTCCTGCTCAGACGGCCAACTCTTTACGTGGGGTCAGAATTCCAGTGGTCAACTGGGTTTGGGAAAGGCTCACCCAAGCACGCCATCGCCATCGCCCCTCAAGTCGCTGTCGGGCATCCCCCTGGCCCACGTTGCTGCTGGGGGGGACCACAGTTTTGCCCTGTCCCTCTCTGGGGCCGTCTTTGGCTGGGGCAGGAACAACGCCGGACAGCTGGGACTCAATGATGAACAAGGTATGTAGGATTAGGGTTAACATTACACACGCCAAGAAAATGTTACGATAAAGCCATAAGGCTACTCTTACCAGATAGTGGTAGTTTAGTGTACAGATTAAAGACTGGAAGGTTGGTAGTTCACATCCATTGGTGCCATGTGCACCAAACTCGAATCGCCTCATATTCTTAGTAAAAATATTCCCAGATCAAGTTCCTTGTTTGTACAGTCATAGTACCTCTGTGTGCTTTCATGCTAAGATGAACATGTGGCTTTGTGTTTCCCGCGATCATTTCCAAGACCGCGCCGTTCCCTGTCATATCAAATTCCTGCGGTCGCAGAAGGTGGTGTTCATCAGCTGCGGAGATGAGCACACGGCCGCCTTGACGAAGGTACGCCACCCACGCTCTCGTTAGCGTGATGTCAGCTCGTGGTGTTGTTTTCTCAGTTTGCTCACTGGTGAAGTTCCTGTGCATCACATGTTCGCAAAGCTTTGTTGAGGTTCGGGCCTGTGGTCTGTCTTCGTCCCATTTGGGCTTAGCAGCCCGTGCTTTCGTAACTGCCTTGACGGAGCTCTGCCAAAGATTATACATGAACCGCTGGCCCCTCCTCAACAGGATGGGGGCCTTTTTACTTTTGGGGATGGCTCGCAAGGGCAGCTGGGCCACGACTCCACCAACAATGAGGTCCTCCCCAGACGGGTCCTGGAGCTGATGGGAAGCGAGGTGTCGCAGATCGCCTGCGGAAGGTGCGTGACAGCTGACCGCGCCGGGCACACATCGCTGCCATGTCTGCCGCCCGTCCTCTGCTCTGTTTTGAAGGACGTTTTTCGTATTATGTATACGAAACGTGAACCCCCAATTAACCGCAACCCTACTTCATCACACCGGCTACTTCACTAACGCTAGCCGGGTCCTGAGAAAGCTGGGAAGGTTTCTAATGCAGCCACTATCACAAAGCACTACAGCACGGCAAACTCTTGAGCACGAAATCTCTTGCCACTTCCCTGTTTGCATGGGTCTGCGTTGGCAGCTTGATTACCCGGTTGTTTTAGCTTGGCGCTGCCATGTTTGTCATCTCCGGCTGTCATCTGTGTTCCGTTCCAGACACCACACCCTGGCTTTCGTGCCTTCTTCTGGCGTGGTCTACGCATTCGGCTGCAACGCCAAGGGCCAGCTGGGCACAGGAACCAGGGCCAACACCAGCAGCCCGCTGCCCATTAAAAGCAGTCTCTTCCATAGGGGATCCCCCACGACAGGTGACCGTTGCACTGTTTTCCTCGTTTTATGTTGGGATAGATGTTGGGTGCGGCCAATAAGCAGAGATGTAGACAGTCTGGTTTGTTTCCAACCCATTACATGCGGGGGCCCTCGGTTTCAATGTCAAAATATATGCCCGTCACCATCCTCGCCTGAATTCCGGATTCCCGGGCCCAGCTCTTTCGCCAACATCTCCAGGAATTTTCTATTATTGTTGGACCGTTGACAGAATGGAGGCTCTGTGTATGGATGAAAAGCATATGATTTTTAATTTTTTTGGGTGTGCTTTCGTATGTTGAGACAAGTCTCTCGTTGAGTGAGAACCGGCACAAGGGGTTTAATCTGTTTCTTCAAAAAAAGTCACGTGTTTGAAATTTTATTTGCTCAGTACGATTCGAGTGTGATATGCGTTAGAATATACTTTGCTGACCACCTGTTTCTTTCTGCAGAGTCTGGAATTTATGCCGTTTTCAAAATTCATTGTGGAGGAGACCATAACTTTTTATTGTACTCCAACCAGGAGGTAAGTTTCACTGGCAGAATGTGCCGGAACACACTGTGCTGTTCTCTGGTTTGGTGACATTCCAGTGGCACCCTGTTTGTAGGAGCTGTCGGGCGTGCAGCCTTTGGGATGGCGAGTGTGAGCAGAGCGTTTAGACGTGGGGCAGAAACGTACTGGTGGTGGGGAGCTGGATTTAGCCCAGAATCACGGGCTGAACCAGTGGTAGATGGAAGCCAATCACACATTAATTCTAAGCTAAGATCTGCATGGGGTTTGAAGTTCCTGCGTTCTGTGATGCAAACGAAAAGCAGGAATGAATATGGTCCATCGTATGGTAAAACGGAGGAGTGTGGATAGAAAGGCAAGCTGTGATTGAAGTAGATTCCTGCCTAATCGTAGATCCGTGGCTGTTTGGTCCTTGAGGTTGCTGGGCTGGTGGAATTTGAGTGCAGTTGCACATCTACATCACAAGGTGGTGCTGTCATTCAAGCAGTAAGGCTGCAGACACTATCGATACATGGAATTGCAAGGCAGGCCTTTTTTAGGTTGTTCCACGGTCGATCTGATGTTTTCTGGGGCTGTGTTTCTGTTAAGACGTTCTGTGTTTTTTGTGGCTAGCTGTCAGCCACACCGTGAATGCTGGGAGCGTTCTAATTACGTCCTCGCTGGCGATGCCGACACCGGTCTGTCATAGTGCAGCTGCGTACAGTTCTCGCTCCATCAGCACATCACGCCCCCGCTCCTCTCTTCCCCACAGAGCTGTGTGCCCCCCGAGGACTATCGTGTTATCAACGCCACCAAAAGCATCTCGATCATTAATCACGAAAGCCTAAACGCGTGGAGGACAAAACTGGTGGACAGCACGGACTCCAGTATCACCAAGTAAACATTTCACCTACGTTATGAAGCTTTGACTCGTAACGCTGCAGCATCATTCTGCTGCTGTCGACTTTCTCTGTAAGACAATGAAGTTTGTTCCACTTCTCTCGCATGCAGTAATGTTCTCATATTTACTTTCTAGCGACATCATTCTTCTCCTTTCTTCAGCTGCTTGCTGGAATGCCAGTTTCCTGGACCAGAGGTCAGAATTGCAGTGGCTCATAGCCATTGTTTGTTTTTGTTTTTCTTTGGTTTCGTCTCTACTGGTTTAAATGGTCGTTTGGTGGATCTTGGAGTTTGAATGCCGTTGCCTGAATGTTGTTGAGGGTCCATTTGCTTACTTTTTCATGTTCTTTAAGGAAGTTGTTTTGTTGAAATTTCTTTTGAGATTACTGCTGCCCCCATAAAAAAATATTTGACAGCACAATATATGTCAAAAGTGCCAAAAGTGGCTGATATCTAAAAGTACCAAAGTAGACACTTTTAATTAGCATATTAAAATTGATTAAGAATAGCCAATGGTCTGGTCCCCCCTTAGAGGTGTGAGGCAATGAGCCAATGAGCTCGCATATGATGATAATCAAAGACCAAATTACATTAAACACAATATTAATTTAATAAGTATATTTTACTGGCCAGGTTCTGTTTATTTCCGTGACAATGCAAATAAGATCTTTAAGTTCTGCAGGACTGGTAGGGTGCTGGCCTTGGCACGGTAATAGTGCTCATATTCAAGAAACTGATAAACGGGCCGTATTTGCATGATGAATTGTGGCTACCTAAGAGAGCTATCAGCAGCCTCTGGAACATTCTGTGAATGGTGTTTGTCCTTCATACCCTTCGGTCATTGTTAGGCTCTGCTGCAGCTCATCACAGGGGGATATGAGGACCTCCTGATCAGTATGACCTTATGGACTAGAGAACTCCTTACATGTTCGGTCAGAGTTTCTTCCTTTTTCAACACTAATTTGACTGAAAAGAGTGTGAGGTGGTTCCCTTTGAATCTCTTTGAACTGTCTAGAGAGTTACCCTGTTACTTTCCAAGCCATCCCCCCCCCCCCACAGTAATTGTAATGACAGACTCCGTTTCTCACCCTCCAGTGACGATGGACACTTCAAGACCAATCCAAAGGTCCCCGGCATTGATCTGACCTCGGTCAGGCTGTTCTTTGAGATGCTCATGAAGCCAGCGTTTTCCAGGCTGCTGGAGCAGGTATGTCGTCTCTGTCTGTTTGGCAGGCCTCCCTAGAGCAGGTACATCTCCTCTGTCTGTTTGGCAGGCCTCCCTAGAGCAGGTACGTCTCCTCTGTCTGTTTGGCAGGCCTCCCTAGTGCAGGTACGTCTCCTCTGTCTGTTTGGCAGGCCTCCCTCACACCCAGACCTGGGGAGTCTCCAGGCAAGTCAAATGCAGCTGGAAACATCTGCCACCAATTTTTTTTTCCCCTCCATTTGCTGATGCATCAGATCTTCCAAAACGGAGTCATTTCCAGTATGCATAGTTCTGATGGATGACCTAGTGCCGCCATTTAAGTACCTGCTCCATCAGCTCCACTAGCTGTCTGCTTTGGCTCTAAATTGCTCCCACGCATGCAGAATTGGACTGCAGAGTTCAGCTCGCAGAAGGATTAACTCGCGGCCAAACGGTGCTGCGGTTTGACTGGGCTTGTCCCTTTTCTGGGCTTTTAATGCAGAACAGCCATTACAATGACTCATGTGTTCTGAATCTGCACATAGATAGAACCAAAGTAAAGTCAATGTTCCCTTTTATGTTCTGGGAGTCTTGGGAACAGTGGTGTATAGACCACACCCTACCATTTGCTGTCCAATGTGTCTGTTATTATTCTGTTAGCCTCTGTCTGAAGACACTGTCATTAATGGATGTCCAACTTGATTTTGTTTAGGAAAGATACTGCAGTTATGTTGTTCTCCCAATAGTCCCAATATCTTCTAGGCATAAATGTGATGAGACCCCAGCAATGACACCGGTTCCTGTGCTGTCCCATTCAGGCCACCAAGAGCTTCGAGAGCTTCCTGATCCCTCAGCTGCCGTGCTCTCCGCCGGACGTGGAGGCCATGCGGATCTATCTGATTCTTTCCGAATGCCCTGTGCTCCAGGACTCCAAATATTACATCACGCTGACCATTCCTCTGGCCATGGCGATATTACGGCTGGATGCAAATCCCAGTAAAGTCCTCGGTATGCCTTGCCTTCACATGTCAGTGTCCAGAAACAGTCTTGGGTTATTCCATGCGTCACAATCTTAGTTACTTCCTTATAGATACATTAAGAACCCCAACCTTGCCTGTCTTATAGATAACTGGTGGTCCCTGGTTGACTGCAGCGTATTCTCACGCCTGCTGGAGATGTACAAAAGCACGGTGGTTTACCTCCTGACGGGTGGCAAATCGCTCCTGATCCCGGTGTTCCTGGAAAGCTACATTAGCGCCACACTGAGGCTGCTGGAGAAGTTGCACAAGGTCCGGGAGGGACGCCAGCGTGAGATCTCTAGTCCGTAAAATTCAGCCTCTACTCTTGGCTCTACATGAATGAAATCCTGAAGTGAACCTTGTGTTCCAGGTGAACCTGAAAGCCCAGCACGTGGAGTACAATCGATTCTATATCCCTGACATTACGAGTCTAGTGGACATCCAGGAAGACTACCTCAAGTGGTTTCTGAGTAAACCAGAAATGGTAAGTCTTGGCGGCCTTCGGTGTGATCAGTCATAGATACCATCCATGCTGTAGAATTTGGCGGGCTCCTAGGATTCCGGGCCGAAGCGCCCTACAGAAGGAGGGATAACGCATCAAGTAGCTGCTGACGTCTCCACTGAATTTTGGCAGGCAAGCTTGTCTGGGATGAGGCTGTGCTTCATGCTGTTTTGTAGGCATCGTGTTGGGGGCCCACAGAGACGTATTGCTCCAGCCAGTATCTGTCCAGAGTAGGAAGCAGCACCTCAAAGTCTTTGTTCCCATCTGAAAGTGGGCTGAAGGGCAAATGAATTATTTTCACTGAATGAAAGTATGCAACTCATATATATATATTTTTTTGTTTGTTTAAAACAGAAAATGACGTCACCAGCCGTACAGGTAAGATAGGGAACAAGATGTGCCATAAATGTAACAGCTTAAAAAAAACAGAAGTGTCAACAAAGGCTTGTTGTTGCAGAGCTCAGTGACGTTGTGTGCCTACCCATTCATCCTGAACGCACAAGCCAAGACAACTATGCTACAGACGGACGCCGAGCTGCAGATGCAGGCAAGCCGCTCGCCCTTTCTGGGACCTTGATTGGATAAGGGGTTTTGAATAGGCACAGACGGACAACATGATTGGTTGGATGGGTTTATGGGTGGGGTCTTGGGGGTGAATAACGTCCAATGGCTTTGGGCCTCACCGGTGCTGCCTCCGTGGGTCCAGATGGCGGTGAGCGGCGCCAACCTGCACAATGTTTTTATGCTGCTGACGCTGGAGCCGCTGCTGGCGCGGAACCCCTTCCTGGTGCTGCACGTGCGCCGTGGGCACCTGGTCAGCGACGCCCTGCGTGAGCTCGCCCTCTATTCCGACGTCGACCTCAAGAAACCGCTCAAGGTTGGTCAGGGCGCTTCCCTTCCTCTACTGCGCCGTCTGGTGCGGGTGGATCGATGCGTGCCAGGGAAAATGAGACAGCTCTTGGCTTTCACTTATTCTCATAAGAGCTGATGGGTGGTGGGCGTGGGGGTTTGTTTTTAAAGAGTCAGGTTTTGAAATCCGGGAGTTGGAGGCAATGCTGGACCCACTACAGACCAATGCTGGACCCACTACAGAAATGTTCCGGCTCACTAGACACTCTTTTGGAAGAAGTCGCCCAGCTGTAGAAATGGCTGCTTTTGGGCTGTTATGGGAGTACTGAGGTTTTGAAAACTATCAGTTGTCAAATCCCGTTGGTTCCTCCAAGGCTTCGATGGAGCCTGTCGACTAGGGCTTTGTGGGGACGCCTGTCTGACGGTGCCCGTGGCTCCCGCAGGTTATTTTCGATGGTGAGGAGGCCGTGGATGCCGGCGGAGTAACCAAGGAGTTCTTCCTGCTGCTGCTGAAGGAGCTGATGGACCCCGTGTACGGCATGTTCACCCAGCACTCCGAGTCCAACCTGCTCTGGTTCTCCGACAAAGTGAGTCTGTGGTGACGGCCGGCCAGGCCTCCAGAGGGAACACCCAGTGTCGTTCTTGGCTTTGTGAAAACCCTCATACTGGATATTTTTGTTGACGCCACACAATTAATCAAAGTTCTGGTTTAATGTTTTGAAAGTTTTATCAATGTAATAATCTCACAGCTCCATGCTGGATCATATTTAGCTGCATCCTGTAGACTAAATTTTCTGGTTCTTCTTGACCGTTTTCCTAAATTCGGACACGATATTCCTCCAGATCTGACCGTCCCATTGAAGCTGTATCTGTCTACCAGTTCTCCTGTATCCCTTTGAGACATCCTTTTGAACCCTTCCCACAGTGCTTTGTAGAGCATAATTGGTTCCACCTGATTGGCATTGTCTGCGGCCTGGCCATCTATAACTCCACGGTGGTGGACCTGCACTTTCCCCTGGTGCTCTACAAGAAGCTTCTGGACGTGGCTCCCACGCTGGAGGACCTGAAGGAGCTGTCACCAACAGAGGGCCGGTATGTGTGGTGGTCAGGTGACCACCTGGAGCTAGTTAATAGAGCCCACTGATGTCTCATGAAGCGCCCCCTTGTGGCCTGGTGGTGTCACTGGAGCTCTTACTGCTTCTGGTTTGTTCTCTAGGGGCTTTGGGCAGGGATAAAATAAATTGCCGTGAGACAATGTAATCTGAAAATGCGCTACACAAATAATATTGTGAAACTGAACTGAATATGTTTGCTCGTGTAGTCTGGTAGTGATTCAGGCCAATATGTCACTTGTACTGATACTATGTTTGGAATCTGCTTCAGATACTATTATAGGCAAATAAATTTCTTCTTAGTAGGAAACATGAGACATTTTAGTCCAAGACTGCATTTTTTTTTAGTAATCTTCCTTTTTAGTAGCATGTAACTGCCTGTATCCATTACAAGGCAGTGATTAATTGGTGGCTGCTGATGCAATGATCTGTTCTTATGTTGAGTAGTGTAGTCAAAGGGAAGCAATGCATTGTGGGTAGGCCCTGCCCATATGTGGCTCTGAGCCACAGTCAGCCACTTTATTCTAATGTGATTTATATTTCTGTAGCTGAAAAAACAAACGTTAGACTTTGTAGTGGATCCTTTGCAACTTCCTATTCAAAATAATAGAACTTGGCGAAAGGTATTTTCGGGGTTTAATAACGCTGTGCCCCCGGGGGGCACTTTGATTGCCTTCCCCATAAGCCCCTCCAGGAATGGGATGCTAATCGAGATATCTCGACACTTCCTGTGTTCAGTTCCGGAGGCAGTCGCCCGCTGCCCGTGTGGCCGTTTGCCATCATCAGCTCGAACCACGTTATTAATAAGCACACATACCTACACCCCAACCCCCCCACCCACTGTGCATTAGATCTGTGAAATCTGTAATAGAGCCCCTTGACATCTCATGAAGTGCCCCCTTGTGGCCTGGTGGTGTCACTATAGCTCTTGTACTATGCAGGCCTGGTTCAGCAATCATTCTGAAACTGGCATATCCCCCAAGAAATCTGATGACTCATCACTCGCTGCGATGGAGCCCACTTGATGGGAAGAGCAGGCTGGACTGAGCCCTGATAGGCCCTGGGCAGCTGCGGATCTTTGTGATTCTTTGTTCTCTGCCGGAATGCCCTTACTTCAGGGTTTACCCATGTGTCTGTCCGGCAGGAGTCTGCAACAGCTTCTCGATTACGAGGGGGATGATATCGAGGACACCTTCTGCCTCAACTTCGCAGTAAGTGGGTTGAGGAGGGGTGTTGGGGGACCTGGTGTTCTAACCACAAACCACTGATCTGTATTCATGCCTCAGCAGTCCTTCTTAGCACTGGAATCTGTCACGTCTATTTCGATGTAATCGTGAGGATCTGTGTCTTAACTGTGACTCAAACGCCAGACAGCGCCCCCCCCCCCAGAAAATAGCTCCCATTGCACTGAGTGACCACCATCATCTCCCCCCTCAGATCACGAGGGAGCACTATGGCCTGACTGAGGTGAAGGAGCTACTTCCTGGGGGAGAAGACATTGTGGTGCAGAAGTCCAACAGGTCTGTTCCACACTCCCCTTTCCTAACCAGTAGGAGGCGCTGTCATCATCCAAACATACCTACATCTGCCTCTGGGTTTTTTTTTTTTTTTTTATTTTTTTAAATGTGTATGTGTATATTCTTTTCCTCCATCCACTAAGTTATTGCAGTTGTGTACTACTTGAATTGAATGGATGTAGGGCCTTCAAAGATCTGTTGAAATACAAAGAGGATTTTTGCATCTTTAGGCGCCTTGTAGACAGATGGGGACTGTTTAAAAAAAAAAAAAAAAAAGTGCAAAAATACTCGTGTTGATTTTTACAGTCTGCCTTGGCTTGGGAACCAGATCCACAGGCAGCGACCCAGAAAACGCGAGTCCTGCCAAGGCGAAGGCCTTTGTTTACTGGCAGATTTACAAATCGGCCATTTTAAATGCAGCCTGTCGACTTTGGGGAGGAAAGACCTGCATTCGGCAAACAAAAGCATTGGCTGAGCAGTTGATAGCCAGATCCGAGTCTGACCAGCGGCCTGGTCTCAAGGGGCTCGCTTTCCGGAGGGTGGGGGGCGCGCCCCGCCGGTGGGCCATGCCCGTTTCCTATTTCGAAGTCCGTGCAGTTCGGGCCCTTTTTGGCACAGAGGAGCAAGCTGTACCAGTGGTCGGGGTGTGTTTCCTGCCGCCGGGACAGATTCCTGCACGGGGTGAGGACCCAGGTGGGGGGTGCGGCGCCCGCTGAGTCCCGCAGTGCTCCTCGGGTTAGGTTATGTGGTCTGGGTGGGGCGGGGGGAGGATCATGTACGCGGTGACGGAGCAAGGCAGATGTCTGGCCCCCTTCCAGCGTACATCACGCTGATGCTCCGCTTACGGAAAACTCCAGGCTCCGAAAGAGGAGCCTGAATGTTTATTTTGCGTTACTGTTTTTCTCCCGGAAAGAATAACGTTTGTCCGTGAAGGTTTTCTCTGGTTTTTGTTGTCATTGTCATCACATCACAGTGTGCTTCAGGAAGGGGGGCTGATCCTGCGAGGAGTTGGGGGTGGGGGAGTGTTTGATTTTTACCGTATGAATGATAATTGTTATTATTATTATTTGGTGGGCCATTCCCAGTGTTTGCTTTGTGCTTGGCCTGTGCATACAGTTTGTGTAACCAGGAGTCTGAAGCCTGACTTGGACGTACAACAGCATGAACTCCTGAGAAGGGAGCCTGAAGCCTTCAGCAGGATTTAAAAGCCCACTGGACATCACTGTGCACCACTCTCTTTCAGGGAGGAGTTCGTCAGGGCCTACTTGTGCTACGTCTTCGACGACTCTGTGAAGGAGCTGTATAGCGCCTTTTCCAGCGGCTTCCTTAAAGTGTGCGGGGGCAAGGTGCTCTCGCTGTTCCAGCCCTCGGAGCTCATGGCCATGGTGGTGGGCAACAACAACTACGACTGGGAGGAGATGGAGAAGGTCAGAGCCGGGCCTCACGCACCGCCATGATGGATGCTATGCTAGTTAGCTTCGGCTGAGCCAGAAATGCACATGGACGTCTGCTGCTGCCTAATCTATAGCATTTATTGGGCATTAGCCATTCTGCTAACTATGAGAACTAATCGTGTATTAGTAGGAGTGCTGACTTTCAGACATGTAAAGTTTGGTTCAGCTGTGTGGTTGTAGGTTGCTCACCAGACAAGAGATGGAGGTCTCTGTTCCTTGAAACGATGGAGAGATTCCCGACTCTCTCTTTGCCGAGGTTGCGGCGTGGTGACTGTGAGCTCTGTGCCTGTTTGTTCACTCCAGGCTTCTGCTGGGAAGATGTTTTCCCAGCAACCTCCACCAGATCCGGGTCCCTCACCGCCGACACGTGGGACCATGTTTGCTCTTGATTGCTAAAGATTCCGGCAGGGCGCGGCCGACTCGGAGTCTAATGACAGAGCCAAACTTTCATTGACTCGCAGCCTTGGGGAAACGTGTGCTGCATGTAGAGCGATGCTGTGGCGGATTCAGGCCCCATGAAAAACAGCCTCGAGAGCGATACAGTCTCTCTCATTAATGTCGTTGGTGTTTCCCCCCCCAGAATGCTACTTACCGAGGGGAGTATTCGGCGTCGCACCCTACAGTGAGAATGTTCTGGGAGGTCTTTCACGAATTTTCTCTGGAAAAGAAGAAACAGTTTTTATGTAAGTACCTGTCAGTCAGATGCATTGCACCTCATTTTTGTGTCCCTTTACATTTCGAGAATAAACGCTAAGCAGCTAGACTCGATTCATGTGCCTGCTCCGTGTTACGGTGTCGAGGTCCATTTAGTTGTTCAACTCTGTGGTTAAATAGAGCAGATGTTAACAGCTGGCACAGAAAACCAGCCTCATTCTGCTGAGTTTTGGTTTGTGTCTTTTTTGTTTTGTTTAATCTGAGAGGGTTTGTGTCGCCTCCCTAGTGTTCCTGACGGGCAGCGACCGCATCCCCATCTACGGCATGCAGAGCCTGCGGATCGTCATCCAGTCCACGGCGGCCGAGGAGGACCACCTGCCCGTGGCCCATACCTGCTACAACCTGCTGGACATGCCCCGCTACCAGACCAAAGACACGCTGCGCCAGCGCCTCACGCAGGCCGTGGAGCAGTACGAGGGCTTCAGCCTGGTGTGACACCCCCCCCCTCCCGCCCCCCCTCCAAACCTACCATCCTTACTGCCGCTGCACTTTATCACTCTGTTTTAGGGTGGGGTCTATCAATTGTTTACTGGAAGAACAATTAGAAGCAGGCCCAAGGAAGATTAAGATGTGGGACGTAGGTCTTCAGGTGACTTGAGCTGTTCCTTCTCCCTTTACCACGAGGACGACGGATTGATTTTCCTCTTTCGGTTTTCCTCGTGCACCCTGAAGGTGTGTGGACTCAAGCCTGTTGGTGTACTCTTGTTGCTCCCTCGTTCCTGCTCGATGACGAGCGGCTCGGGGTTCACGGCTGTTTTTTCCAGACTGTCGTCACCAAGCGGGCGACTCTCCCCCCGCGGTGCTGCCCTACCGTCTTTCCCTCCCCCTGGTCTCCACCCAGCGCCGCCGTGACACACAGTTAATCCTCCAGGCTACGGAACGCCGGCCCGCCTTACAATCCCGGCACATCGCGTTCTGGCCGCCTTTCCCCTCCCGGCACCGGCTCCCGCTGCATATGCGACGGTCGGGCCTGTGACCCGCGCATCCTGCCTCAACTTCATTTTTACTTGCGGAGTCTTCTGGACTCGAGGCATTTCTAGTGAACAAGTATCGTGTGAGCATTGTGTGTCTGTCTGTGTGTGTGTGTGCGCGCGCGCATGCATGTCAGCGAGAGCATTCAGTGAGCGGGGTCTGCTCACAGCAATGGTGAGTATTTTAATAACGTCACCCTGCCCTTCTCTCCTAATAAAAAGGGGTCACCTTCGTAAGATAAATGCTTTCAGAGTTGGAGAAATGCTGTTTGTTGGACTGCTGTGTTTTTTTTTTTTTTTTTTGCAGTTTCTCCTTTTGCTCTGAATATTAAATCTTATGACCTGAAAAACAGAGTAGCCATAATATTAAATATGACTAATAGCTTTTTGCTCCCAGGAATGAAAGTCCTATGTTCTGTACTGTTTTTAAAAAAATATATATATCACATGACTATCCTTTCCACTTTGGCTGAACAAGAATTGGGGATGGAGTGAAGCTATATCCTCACATTCAAAAGCAATAAATAACGGCACCAGGACCGTACCGCCGTCAGGACATATCGGCGAAATCTTTGCAATGTTCGGTGAGCTGGGGTTCCAGCGCACTCCTCCCCTTGTCCTCTGGGACTGTGAATATATCCATTATATATATATAAAATGGTGCAGTTACTAAATATACCTACACAATCATGCTTGTACACACAGCCTCTTTTTTCGGTTTGGCATTGCTGGTGGTTTGATTGATGTAGGTGCAAAAACGTGTTCCATATAGTGAAGGAAATGCTCTATTGCTGTATATCTGTTTGGCACAGCAGCTACTGGTAGGTATTAGTGAATATTTACACCCTGTTCTGCCTCCTGAGAATGTTACGAGTCGTGTAGTGTTGTGCATTACAGCAAAGGTTTTTTTTTTTTTTGGGGGGGGGGGGGGGGGGGGGGTTTGTCAGTGTGCAAACAAGGGCTTGTGAATGGCTAGTCATGGATTTTATGAAATATTTAATTTTATACCTTCTGAATGAAATATTTTCTTTAAAACCCCTTTTTCCACAGATTGCACCTGATTCCAAGGCTTGGATTTTTATGTTTATTTTAGGCCAAATATGCTGGTTTCATAAAAATAAAATGAATTGTGAACATGAAGGGCTTTTTTTTTTTTTGCAACAAACCGTAGTTAAGACACGTTGGTCTGCCGCTGCCCGCCGTATTTGCATTGATGGAACAGCGTGGGAAGTTTCCTTTGAACAGAAATCTCACGCTCCTGGAATGTTCAAAACATACCAGGTGGCAACGCAAATCAAGTAAAAATAGGTTCTTTATATAATATGTACAAAATACAAATACAATTATGTACTAAAATGTACACACCCATGTTCATTACACCAGTGTTCACTTTCAGAAAAAGTCCCACATTTTCCATCATTGGGGGAAAAAGAAAGTACTTGCCCTGATTAGACAGGAGAAGCCAGCTGCAGGAAGAGAAAAGAGCGGGAAAGGAGTTGGGGGGGGGGGGCATAAGTGTAGTGTCTATAGTATACAATCACCGTGCATACAACCTCTGCAGCAAGGATTCTGTGCCAACTGTAGAACACCAGTAACAGAATGGATTTTTAACAGCATCAGCACGAGCTACAATATCTGGAAGTCATCAGCGTTACAGGTCAAGGGGCTTACAGCAAATATGCACATTTGCCTTATTTTACAGAGGAGCCACGTCATCATCTTTGGGCGGCAACAGCAAGAAGCTACAGCTGTAATTGTACCTTACAAATGATCCTCTGTTTTCCTTAACGTTTCCTTTGCATAATCAGGCAGATAAAACAGACATGAATAAATAAGTGAAGAGGGCTGCATTTTTTCAGAATTGCAGTAACTCATGCTTAACATACAGTAAGGGACAACATGGCAGTAGATATTAGATAAGGACTGAAATCTGGGTAGAGGACCTGTATGCACACACAAAATTCTGTCCCATATCCAAGAGTAACTGCGGCAAAATAACACACGGTGCAGAAATGCTGGTTTGTCCGGCTTGACAAGGGCAAGCCGTTAACAGCAGCAGACGTATAGTCAGACCAGCTCAGCAAACAGATTGCCTGCTGATTCTGTCCTTAAAAACATTGAAAGGCCTAAAACATGACGCCCTCCCTGTGTCATGTTCTTCACTGGTAAATTCAGTCTGGAATTTGATTCTCAACGCTCTTAACACTAAACTACAGGCGTTTTAAGGTATTCCCCCTGCCCCATCAGCACTGCAGAAAAAATATTTGATTAAAATCCTCCCCACAGTTTGGTACCTTATACCAATAATCAAATGTAGGGTATATATAATAAATAAATGAGTTATAAAATACATTTTTCTTAAGCAGTGTGGTTAACGATTCCTTCAGAAAATATTGATCTGGATACGTTTCCAGATAAAAATTTGTTCTCCAAAGTCCTGTTGGACAGGAACATGCTGTCTGCCTCGCCTTCAGAAACATAGTCCATGCTTCCCAATCATTCCTTGGTTCCGGGGGGGGGGGAAGCCCTTGAGGCCGCTGGATCCACGTGGGAAGTGTGAAGTCCCTGGTAATCTCCGTCTTTCAGGGACGAGCTTATGGCTACAGTGTACTTGTGTCTGTGACTGCGTTCTTCTGCTCGTCATCCTAGATCACCTTGCCAGAGTCTCTTTTGCTGATGAGAACCTCAAGGAGCTTGAGCTTGGCCTTCACATGCTTGTACTCACTGTACTCCTCGGCCAGAGGGGAGCGGTCTTCCTTCTGGACGCTTCTATAGGGATGCAGAGATCAGTTGTTGAAGTATGTAGCTGTTCTGGCACAGATATAACCAGACAAAACAACAAAATCCTCATATAATAACTATGGGGTACACAAAGCAGAAGATATTCTCTTTACCTTCCATTTTGCCGGAAAAACTGGTCTTCAAAATCCCGGAGGTTCTTGCGCAGACGCTTCTTCTCCTCCCGTGCCTCCTGCAGCTGCTCCATGAGCTCCTGCCTGTGTGCGAGAGAGAGAGGGCCGTAAGGACTCGCTGTGTGATTCCACAGTAGCCTGCAGACAAGTTGAGCCGTTATTGATTTTAACTCATCGTGGATCAGTCTCCTTAACCCAAACCCTAGCACAAGTAGCCAGTCACGTACATGGTGGCAGAGTGAAGGTTGGAGAGACGCATGTCAGCGCTGCCCTTGGACGGAGACAGCTCATCCACAGGGGAAACGAAGCCATCCGCCTCCTCTTCTAGGTGCTCCAGGAACCCAAGCATGCTGAACTCCGGTATGGCCGTGACCGAAAGCTGGGTCTTGGCTTCGCCATCTTCCTCAGACCCATCCTCCTCCTCCTGGAAGGTTGGGGGGGCAGGGAAATAGCAGAAAAACTCAGGGTCACAAATGAAGCCAGCCACCATTGCTAGAGTTGAGTAGGTGTGGGACGATTGAGCAGCGTCCCCCGCTGAAGGTTAGGAAGAGGACAGAGTTCATAGCAATACGTGTTTCCAGCAGCTAAAACAGAGTCTCAGAATCATTAGTCATCATATTTTTAAGTTTCCTTAGCAGCTGATTTCTGTTTTTCCACCAAGTAGCATCACCTACACAATCACAGAGCTGCTTACATCAGAATGAACAACAACGCAGCTTTTCCCAAGTGCCATTCACTTTGGGATTGTGATTATTGATTTAATCCACTTCATTTAATTTGAGTTTGTGTGTACAGCCAATCTCTAAGATTCACACAGGAACACACAAAAACTACCAAGCAGGTGAAAGGAATATTTTTCTAGTTTGATCACAAATCACTACCTCTACATAGAGGCTTTGCGTGGCTAATCAGCTACTAATTTCAGTAGTACAGGTGCTAGGGGGTAGGGATGGGTGGTTAGGCTACAATCAAAGTTATGGAGATGGGATAGTAGTAGTAGGGGTTGAATTAAAGGGACCAGCACCATCTCTTCACCTTGACTTTGTCGAAGAAGAGTGCAGGCACTCCCTCGATAATGGGCTGAAGCAGAGGCCCTCGTCGCTTGCTGGAGGGGGAGCCCTGTGGTGGACGTGTGAGGGGAGGTTACCGTAAGAGGCCCCCAAAGTGGTCCCAGATCAAACCTCACAAATACTATCCTAAACAAACCACTATCAAAGCCAGATCCTGCATATCAGGCCGGGTTTTCTTCAGGAGCATTGCTGAAGCCAAAGTGCAAAGCAATCACTCATTAAAGCCCTTTATCTGCTTTCATATCAGACGATTGGTCTAGAATGTTTGTCAAGCACTAGCCACCACCAGCAAGGGTAGAAGGGAGTGCCAAAGGACCATAGTTCCGTTTTTCCCCGGCGCCAACACGGACTGACGGTCCTCATGTCCTATGCATTCCTTCCTCAAACTCTGGGACTGGAAATCAACTGTGTTTTTGAAGTGTGTGAATAATTAAGCAGTGAGGGAGGAGGAGGAGAAAGATGAAGGGGCTGGCTTGTACTTACAATAACAGGGATGGCCGACGCCCTAGACAGAATCTGCTTCACCAGTCGGTATCTATCGTACAGCGGCTTCATGACTTGCCTCTCCCCATTTGTGACCTTGAGTTTGACACAGTTGACAAGGAGTGACATAGTTACTGTCAGGTTAATTTTTCAAGCATGCAACTGAAGTCTCCCCACGATATGCAATGTTTCACTGAGGTGATCTTTCATTGTTGGGGAGAAACATCTGTCCGTGCAAAGTATTGTGGTCATGCAGGCCAAGGCAGGAAGGGAAACCCCGGGCCTCACCGGTCTGCCATGAATGCTCTCATAATAAAGCAGGGCCTTCTGTAGAGCCACCTTCTCTGCACCAATCTGTTCCCGTGTCATATCCTGTCAGGAGGGGGTAGAGTTCACACCACAATCAGCATCATCATCTACCATCCGTCTTATACTTTGTAATACTGAGCTTCTGGTGACATAAGGTGGTGCGAGGTTCCTCTGAGGTGCTCACCTTGATGTCCTCCGGACGGCCAGCCTCCTGCCTCTTCTCCAGAAGTTTCTTCTGCACGGCCTCCAGTGTGCTCTCCACGGGCGGCTGGGGAGCTTTCTCCGGGGTCTTCCTCTCCAGCTGTGAGCCGAAGCTCTTGGGCAGCGTGTTGCTGCGCTGACGGGTGAGTGGAGGAAGATCCTCCTCAGACTTCAACAGCTGGTGCTCTGGGCAGAGCAGGAGGGCAATTAGGCAGCGGTCATCAAACATTCCTTCGATCCTACACCTAAACAGTCCCAGCATCTTATTCTCTTAAATACCTTTCAGGTCTTTGCGCAGCTTTGAAAGTTCATTCATCCATCTCAGCACTTCTGGATTGGCTGCCTTGTCGCTGTGGGAGGGCTGGATCACAGACATCCATGTGTCAGTATTGCTCGGTATGTAGCACAAACCTCCTTCATGACACAGTATCTACTGAGGCAGGTTCACCTGCACATTTACCCCTGTCCGAGCCTCTCTGGGCTCGTGACCACTTGCTGGCTCTGAGTCCTACTTACCCTGTACTTTCGCTCCTCCTCAAACTTCTCCTCGTACTTTCGGATCTTCTTCTTCAGGGTGTGGATCTTCTTGGAGATCTGGGCAGACGTCAACTCCCCTCTGTCATCCTCGCAGGAGCCCAGGGAGGAGCTCCGACGGCGGCTAGGAAGAGCCACACACGCTGTTATACTTTCCCAGAAAGCCTAGCTCATGACTGCAAATCCAGAATGCAGGTGATAGGCAGCTTACCTCATGAAGGAGTGGGCATTTGGAGGGGAGGGTGGCACTTCAGTGTCCTCTAGGTACTGGGGGCAGTGCCCATAGGTTTGGAAGCGTGGGGACAGCATGGGGTCACTGCCCTCTGCCAACAGCTGGCGGATCAGCCGGCCGCCTCCGGTGTGTGGAGACAGGCGGGCCTCCTCCCGGTCCATGCTCTCCCTCTGCCAGGACGAGTAGGCCGGCACAGGATCTGCTGGACAAGGGGCACAAAGGTAATTGCCATCTGTACAGTCCATCAAAGCCTGAGCAAATGGCAAAGGTCAAAGAGCAGAGGGCACAGAATGGGGGTGAGGAGTAACAAACAACAGCCAGTATCCAGCCTTAAAATTAGGGTCCAGAGATCCAGCAGCAACAAGCAAAGGCAGGGGCTATTCTGTATGGTTAGCAATCTCAGGTTACTCTCCCAATCAAAGCTGCTCCAATTCAAATGGGGGAAATGTGCTCAGAAAACTCATCCGAAGAGGCTTTAGAAGGGTAAAGCTGATAGGAGCACAACATGAACGGCGACAATCCCAGAGGTCACACGAGACCGCAAACTAAAGCCTCTGAGACGCGACAGATGTTCAAGTTGCAGTTGTGCACCCACACGACCGTGCAGTAATTCCCGCCAGATGTAAATGCCCTGCCAAAAATCCACAGATACGTGCAAGAACACTGTCCGCGAGAACGGAGGCTCGAGACGAGCACAGCGTTACCGTCCCGGTCCTGGAATCCAAAGGCCACTCTGGGGGAAGGCTATAGCCCCCAGGCACAGCACACAAGGCCGGGCTGCTGTGCAGGTCCATGACTTTATGTTTACTCTACAAATGGAGGCTCTGAGCCCACGAGTCTTTCCCAAGCATCTGTAGCTTTTCTCAGCATGCCGCAACGTGTCCGCCTGGGCAGCAGCGTTCGCCCGAGGTAATGAACCAGAGTGTTTCCCTGAGAGCAAACCCATTCCGAGGGCTGTGTGCTAAGGCAACGGAGCATTAAGGTCCATTCAGACTGCCGTGCAATGAGTGCTGAGGCACAAGCAAGCATGTCCTGATCCCAGATCACCAGAGTTACACTTACCCTCATACCAGCTCAGCTGGCAAATACTTTTGAAATCAAGGAAAGGGACAGTAAAGAAGGGTGAATCTAGCAGAGAGGAGAAACGAGAGAAAGAGAAAGAACAGAACATACATATGAGTGGAGATGGGATGACAGTTGCTAACCGTGCCTGCACTGGGGACTCCCAATCAAATTCCCCCCCCCCCCATCCTGACAGACCTCCTCTTCAATTAAACTCCGAATGGGATTTGAGAGGCAGACGGGTTTTTATAATATGGTTCTACCCATCTGGGAACATCCAGAATTCTGCGCACATCTACAGAACGTAAAAACACACAGTGGGAATTCATATTCAATCATAATGTCAGCAAAAACAGGCCAGAAGAAAAAATGACCCTCTCTAACCAGCTTGTGTATTATGCCTGATTGCCAACGAGCTAAGGAACGCCAACGCTGTCAACCCCCTATTACAGTCCCAGAACTTTGATTTGAGAAGTACATGATCCACTAACATCCTACATACACCTGCCAGTAGAGCACTAACTAACCCTAACCCTAACCCTAACCCAAACTTATCCTGGGCTTTCCTGTTGACCACAGGGGCAGCCACGCCTGCAGACCTTAAGAGGACCTGTAAAGATTATGCCTTTTTTTGTTGTTTTCTTTAAACCCAGACCACCTTTGTTTTTACAGTGCTCAAGTTTCCAAGGTCTCCAGAGAAAGGTAGCATTGCCTGAGAACAGCTAAGTCATCCAAAGTTGATGATACTTCAACAGGAACAGCCAGAAATCTGTGCTGGCCTTCACAGCAGCCAACAGCCAACCTCCCAGCCCCTCTGTCTCCCAAGCTACTACCACCCCCCCCCCCCCCCCCCCCCCCCCCACCAACCCCCCCCCCCCCCCCCCCCCCAAAAAAAAAAAAAAAAAAAAAAAAAGCACAGTAATCCCAACCCAAGCTCTCTGCTGCCCCCTTACTGCCAAACTGGAACATTAAACAAGCAGGTCCTGTCAAGAAACGTGTTATGCAAATATCAAATCTGGAGGAGAGTTTCCAAACCTTACACCAAGGCAGATCTGTAAAGTGTCGAGAATGTGCTGTTCAGCACGCCAAAGATTACAAAACGGGAACAGAAATATCAGAGCTTTCAGACGCAAAGTAAACTGCATGCATGGAATGCAGACTGAGTCAGACAAAGTCCAGCCTGAAACAGCCGTGCTACTGAAAAGCTATTCTAATCACGCCCTTACTTAGCAAAGAAAAAGAAAGCTGCATTGAGGGTGAATAAGATTCCAGTGAATCCGGTAATGATTATGATAAATCTCTGCAGGCTAGCACATTCACGTTTCGCTACACCCCTGAAACAGAATGACTTTCACTAACGCGATTCACACCAGACAGCCGCAGCAAACCAGGAGTAGCTGAATGCATGAGGAAATCCAGCGGCGGTGGTCAGAAATTTCATCAGAGCTGCCCTTGTGTTCCGCCTCTGACCAAAACAGTCATCCCCCCCCCCCCACCACCACCACCAGACGATGGTGCCTCAGACCAGCAAACCGTCCAAGTTTGCACAGGGCACAGAATAACATTAGCGAGCCATGGCTAACGAGGACAGCCATCCACGGTGGGACATAAATCGTCGAAAAATGGCTGGGCTGCTGTTCTACCTCTGCAGGCATGAGGCAACACAAGTTACTTTTAATAATGATTATTAAAAAAAAAAAAAAAAGTTCCGGAGGTGTACACCACAAGAACAAACACGGCAGGTTTCCCCTGCCCCTCCCCCACGCCGACGGCAGGCCGTGTGCTCGAGTGAGAGAGCGTTACCTCCCCAGTGGCTCTCCTCCATCAGGGTGGACAGATCCAGCCGGGGAACCTCTTCGCAGCCGTCCACCCTCCCCAAATCGCTCTGCGTCTCCTGGATCTTCATCGTAGACGTCTGCAGCGGGGCGACACGACAAGCTGACGGGGGCCTGTGGCACGCTCCTTAAGTCCAGGCATGCCGAGTCTCCGCCTGAAACAGCACTGGCCCCGCCCCCCCTCACCCCCACCACCATGGCCCTGACAGACGGTGACCACCTCCCATTGGTCCCCAGGCTGGGCCAAAACATCCGCCCATCTGCCTTCTGGAGAGCCGTTTTTCCCCCCCCTCTCTTTTTTTCCCCTCACTCCACTGCCCTAAGTACTCTTGCTGCACTCCCGCCCCCCCCCTTCCCCCACCGCTCCAAGGAGACTGTCAAACCCCCCCCGTTCTGAAGCACCTCACAGGCTGTTTGCCACAGTAGTGGGAGGGGCGAGGGCAAGAGGAAGGGGGGCGAGCTGTAAGCAGATAAGTCGGCACGCAGCACACGCAGGGTGTGGGGGGGGCCCACGCAGAGACGTGCCGAGCACAGCGTTTGGGCGGGGGCGTGGCCTCGGGGGACGCGGCGACGGGCTCGTTAGCACCCGGCCTGCACTTCCGTCCCTTGTTATGTTGCTGGGGGCTCCGAGGAATGTGCATGGGGAGGGGGGGATGGGGGGTGTTTCCAGAAATGCTCAGAGCTGCTGCTGAAGACGTGTACACAATTTCAAGGGGGATTTTTCACAATTTCAAGTCTTTTATTCCTAAAAAAAATTTTGCCTTGAATAATAATGAATCTTATTTTTTTTTTATATTAAAATAAAATTTGCATAGGTACCACATGCTAACATGTATGGCTACATTGATATTTTTATATTGAACTACCTTTGATGAGACACTGCTATTTATTTCATGTATGTAGTGTACCACTGTATACACACACACACACAGGTGTTCCTATCTATATGGGGGCCTTCCATTCATTGTTATGTGAAAAACCCTCATCCCAACCTTGACACCCTTAACCCCCTATCTGCCCTAACCTTAACCATAAGTAACCAAACCAAATACAAGACATTTGGCATTTCTAGTTTTCTGATTGCAGTCACCAATCTTTTATGAAATTAAGGTTACCCAAATGGGGACTTGAAAACGTCCTTCCCCAAAAGCAAGCAAGTTTCACCACACTTTGGGGGCATTTTGCTTCCACACAGACACACGTGTGTGTGTGTGTGTGTGTGTGTGTGTGTGTAAAGCACTTGTAGTGCACTACATGCCCAGTCTGAGGCACAGGTTGTTTTGCACCCATCATGCTATTCAGTCCTGGAGGTAACACTGTTTCGTTCCACTAAATCATGTTCTTGTATATGGATGAGATGACAAAGTCCATTTCACCAGCAAAATCACATCATTTATCATGCGGCCAAACCCCCCCACAGACTGTCCTTTATTTTCACCCACGTTAGATAGTTCTGAGTTAAAATACTTTTACTTAATCATTTGGGATTATGTGAAAGGTCAGTTAGGGCTACCCATGTCCCTTGAAGAGAATTGAGAATTGAAATGCAAACAGATCAATTTCAATTTCAGTATCCCTTCCCTTAAACGCATGTTTAATTGAGAGGAGAAAAAATGTACCACGTGCATTTGACCTTGATCAATCTAACCTGCGCCTGACCTTCATCTGAACCTTCGAAACATGCATCCCGCTAAACCATTTTAACCATCACCTTATAATTGGTGAGGAGATTAACGTCTGACGTGGGGGTTCTGTCAGACAGCGACGGGCGTTGTCGACACCCACGTCACGCCCAGCTGCTGCTTAAGGAGGGTCACATGACCGCTCAGAACCTGCTATTTGGGTTCATTAAGGGCTGTAGTGCCGATAACATCAAACAGTGATTAGAGACTGGCTGGGAAAAACAGAGAGAGGAAAGGGGATTAAACCCCCACCATGTTCCCGACCACCAGGCTCGACCGTGCGGATTTCCTGCAGAGTAAATCAGCTCCGTGAGGGTTGGTCGCCTTCCGCCTGGATTGCATCATTCGCTTTTTTTTTTCTTTACAATAACCAGTGAAGACTGGTCAGGTTGACTGGAAAGATCAGATTGAATCCTAATCATACAGTCGTTGCGGATCAGGCCCTGGGCATACGAGGTCCAGAGCAGCAGGCCGGCCTTCAGTAGTCATCAGCATGAGCCTTGTGTACTTTTTGTTCCCTCTCCTTGGGTAAGCAAATTTTCATGAGTTTCCAAACCAGAAGCATGGGGGGCACGGAACAGTGACCAGAATGATGCAGGTTCAAGTCTCAGAATGGGTCCCGTGGCTGGTCCCTCTGGGTCAAGGTCCACAGCGACAAACTAGCGACAAGCTGGCAGAGATAAGCTGTCAGCGAGAACCACACAGACCCTGGATAGCGATTTAGGTACATGACCTGTCCTCAGAAAACAGGACTTAATGATTTCTGCATAATTTAGATAATTCCCTCTAATATTAACATGGAACCTGCCACTCAGGTCTAAAAAAAGACTGTGGGGGGGAAAAAAAAAAGAAAGAAAGAAAAAAATCGATGGTGCACTAGTTTCTCAAAAAACAAAACGACAGACGGCACACTCTCACTTCTGCACGCATCACGTGCGCTGATTGACATTTGACCTTTGTAACCATGGCTTCCTCGGGGGACTTGGGGATCTGCTGACCCTTGTGAGTGACATCATCCGTCTAATGACACTGAGGAGCTGTCGAGGGCCCCCGAGGGCCTGAGTGTCGGGCCACAAGCCTGGTATCTCCACCATATCAAGGACGGAGAAATGCTGGGAGATTCTCCACCCGAAAGCCATCTTGGGGGAAGGTCTCATCATCGGGCTGTATGCTCAGAGTGTGGCTGGAATGTCCTACTCCTGTCGCACACCGCAGTCTGGTCAGCTTCCACGCTCGTTGGCCGGCCGGTTGGCCATGTGTGTGTGTGTGTGTGTGTGTGTGTGTGTGTGTGTGTGTGTGTCTGGCCTCGTCTTTGGCTTTACGGCGCGGGTGGTGACTGACGGGTGGGACTGGGTCACAGGGGGTCCTTTGTGGGGCTGGGTGCGGTGGCAGCGGCAGCGCGGGAAACAGTTGGGCCACTAACATGACCTCTCACCCCCTGCCCCTCCCCCACCAGCTGCTGCCTGGAGCCCCCCCCCCCCCCCTGCATTCCCCTAACAGTGAAGGCGGGGGGGAATCTGCATTCTGGTGCTCAGTCTGAGCAGTAGTTCAAAGACTCTTGCAGACAGGATGGCGACGACGCCCCCCCCCCAAAGCATCCCTGTGCCCCTGAGCAATGTGCGCCTGTCCCAGAGTGCCGAGGGAGTTGGGGGGGGGGAGGGTATTCATTAACAATGTACATGTTTACTCTGTCCAACGCGCCAGCAGCTGTTCGCTACAGCCGCACCCTGCCCAGCTCCGACGGGGCCCCCGCTCACTCGCACACAGGCACATGCCAGTCCTGTCGGTCAAAGGTCATCGCTTTCACTGGCACAGCTCATCCCGGGAGCGATCCGGCCAGGTGTCCTCAGTCAGTCATGTTCGCCGTGTATAGGCGGGCGTGCAAAGCCCCGGAATCGGACAATCGCAGATCTATCAGAAACTAGTTCCTTAAGCATTGTGTGTGTGTGTGTGTCAGAGACAATGAAGCCTCCCTTACACTGAAGTTCATCACAGAAATAAATAAAAAATTGTACACACATGCAGAGGCATGACAGGACACAGCCTCTTGTATTCTCTCCTAATAATGAAATGATCTCTATATGTGATGACGTGTGAGTGTACATGACAAAACAACGCAAGGCAGACAAGATAAACAGACTCACCTGTGAGGGAATTTCGGAGCTTCGTTTGCAATTATCTCTCCTGGAAGAGGAGTGAGGAAACGTTACAGGGAACAGGAGGGAGGACAGCAGTAAGACGCGACATGTTTGTCACACGGCAAAGGGTCATGGACAGCCACGGAAGAGCCAAATCTGCACTTCGAGTCACAGGTCACCAGTATTAAGCTCGTGGTCCAAAGTGATCCTGAAGGTCCCAATGAGGACTAACTTTTGCTGACCCTGTCGACCATTTCCCCCTCCACAATCTCGTCTCTCAGCACCTTTAGGGTTTATAAAAAAAAATCTAATATTCTGGAAAAGCAGGAACTGCCTGCAAAAGCTTCGCATCAACGCGCGGCCCTTGGGCGCTCGTACGACACATAGCTGACAGAGAGGGGCGTGGCCCTGTCTCTGCTGATCCGCTATTTATGTGCCAACACATATTTAGAGGAAACAGGGGTCCTGGGAATCTGGAGGTTAAGGGCCTCGCTCAGAAACTTTGGGGGTTGAGGGTGCTGAGCCCAATGGTGACATCACTCTGTTGACCTCTGGCGACCTTCCGATCACAGGCACAGCGCCCTAACCCACTGAGCGGCTGAGCCTAGGCTCACAGACACGGGTCGGCCCCCTTACCTCCCACACTGAGGCTCCATGCTGATTTCTCCTGTTTGGTCTTGCACCGGTGACACATTTAAGCCTCCTGTTTCCTGTGGGGGGGGTGACAAACAGTCAATTATTTTTATATATAAATACTTGAATATTGCCTTATATAAGGAAGGGACATAAGAGTGATGAATTCATGTCTATTGTGATTAGAGGTCGACTGATATGAGTTTTTCAGTGCCCGATGCCGATTTCTTTTTGGGGGGGGGTTTAGGGTTGGGACGCTGGCCGATATTAGGCTGAATTATTTAAAGCAGAAAAATAACAAATGAGTAACAACTGCTTAACTTTAAAAATGCTACTTGCCCTTGGTTAATGTGTGGTTAGTATTTACTTAAATTTTTGTTGTTGTTTAAATATTTAAAGTCACAGGAAATGAGAACAATATCAGTAGTTTAACCGCATTCGGTGTCCAGTCTGTGACGTTTCATGTTTCACTTTCAGACAAAAGTAACAAAACAATAGGTTTAAAAAAAACTGAGGTCGTTTCGGCTTTGTGGAAATGCTGTTCATCAAGTGAAACTGATGAGTGGTTTGTGGGCAGGTTCACTATTGTAAGTGATTACAGGTCATATGCAGCCAGCACTATATTCGCTGTGCAGTCTGATTAATCGGCCAATACTGATTGCTATAAAATGCATAAAAATCAGGTGATTTTTTTTCTGGCCAAATCGATGGGTTCACATCTAATTGTGGTCATTACAAACGAAATCCCAGGTAGTTAAGAGCATCACACACACACACACACACACACACAAAACACACCTTTTCAGTAATGCAGCCAAACTGTGGCAGGGATATAATCCCCTTAGTGTGACCTTACATATTCTGATCTGCAAGTTTTTGCCAGCATACGTTTCCTTATAGTCAACACAACCTTTGTGTTTAGTGCAGTGAGGCTGCAATGAACGGGGGAGGGGCAGGGGGTAATTCAGGGTGTTTACAGCATTAACCTTGCTGGGGGGGGCACTTAAAGCTCAGGTGTGAAAAGGTCAGGTGTGAAACTTTAGAAACACCTGACCTCTAAAAGTCCTGCCCCCCCAGTTTAAAAAGGTATGATAGAAATGACCAAGTCATAGTTGTGATTAGCAAACAAATGTACTATTAAAGGGCGTCATGGTGACACAGTGGTGAGCACTGTCGCCTCACACCTCTGGGACCAGGGTTTGAGTCTTCACCATGGTCTGTGTCATCGTGGTGTCCCCTCTGGGGACTCCGGTCCAAAATATGTGGAGGTCAATTGGAGTTACTAAACCGCCCATTAAGTGTTAGTGAATGGTGTGTGAGTTTGTCCTGAGATGGACTGGTGCCCCTCCCTTGGTTGTTCCCTGCCTTGGTTGTTCCCTGCCTTACCACCATAGCCTCTGCTCCCCATGACACTGAATAGGATAAGCGGCTAAAGAAAATGGACAGATGGATGTACTATTCAAACCCGAGACAAAACAAACAACGGAATTGTTTTGTTGCCGCGCACCTTTACTGACTAGATGTTTGTTTCAGAGGAATGAGCCTCCCAGCAGCCTTTGGAAGCTGCTGCATCAGCACAACCCAGTCACCTGTGAATCATCTGCACCCTATGGCGACCCTACACGCTGTGGCCACGCCTCCTCCTATATCATGCACAAATGGGGGGGCGTGGTCACTCAGTGTAAAAGCTGCATGCAAAAAGCACTACAACTTTCTAGTGCTTCAGCATCAGCGCGGGGCAGGCGCATTGAACATGGACGGACACACATCTTGGTGGAGTTTTATACACAAGTAATTAAATACAAGTGCAGGGGTTCTACCAGAGATAGACTGGGATGGCTTACAGGCAGACAGATGGCAGTTAAACTTAGGTTACCCCCCAAATAAAACCTCGACCATCACTCAGCAAATGTGAGAAAGGCTATAAGATCTGCGATATAAATAGGGATTGAGCAGAACAGGTGTAACATCCCAGCGGTTCAGTAGTGAAGCGATTATGTCACACCAGAAAATGGAGGCTGACCAGAGCGCAGAAGCACGGAGACGGATGCGAGCGCCGTGTTCCGCGTGGCTTAACCTAGGAGACACATGACGTGGACAGACCCAATCAAGCATGACTTGGGCCACGTACCTAGTGATTGGGTTAGCGCCAAAGCATGTAGCCGCAGCCGTGCTAACTGCTAAAATTCAAGCCGAGTCCTGAAACTTTAAAGCTTTTGCTCCCGAATTTCTAACCATTTTACATTAATCATTTACATTACATTTTCATTTTATGCAAAGCCACATACAAGGGGTGCAAATAGCACAGTACAAACATATCGGTCAAGGAGTCGATTACGCATAAGTGCAGCTAGGCTGAGCTTCCAATGATTGCCCAAGTATGAGTGTAAGCAGTATTGGAGCAGGAGTTACATAACATCTTCCAAAGTAAGAACTGGGGCTGAACGATTTATTGATTTCAAATGAAAATCATGATTTGAAACAACTCCATTAGCAAATCGCAAAGACTGCGATTTAGAATATGCATTATCCCGCACGTCTGACCCAGGGTTCGATATTGTCGTGAGAATAGTTTTACAAATTAATGCCGTCCTCCTTGTGTGACAGTCATTCTTATCAATCAGAAGTGCCGTGCTCCTCGCATGCCAGTCATGCTCACCAATCATAAGTGGCCCAATGCGCCTGCGGATACGCCCACAAACAGCAAACGCCTATATTTGCGGTGTGAAAAAAATAAGATATAAATAAAGTCCTTTTATTAGGGGTCCAAGCAGCCTTAGCTGCAGGATCCCTGTTTGTTTCTTATTAGAATTGTTTTATTTCTATTATTACTTCATTTAACTTAACACAGTTCATATTGTGATGTTTTAGGTTTGCTCTCCGCTAATTTGGAAAAGTAACAAACACGCATTGGAAGCAATTCATATATACAAGTTCTCATGCTTGCATTAGAATATAGACCAGTTAATATTTTCATGGTATCTCATGTGGTAATGCCGTTTCATACGTTTTAAATCTATTACACACTGAATATTAGACTGAAGCTTGACAAATAAAATTGAAAATCGCAATATGCTGGAAAAAATGTGATTAGATATTTTCCTCAAATTGTTCAGCCACAGCACCAAACTAATAATACTGCTACTTAAAATCAGCAGAAAGTGTAACATCAAGACCATTCAGGTAACATTTTAGGTTATAGGTTAGTAGTAACCAGACCCCTCCTCGTCTGGACTCGAACCCGGACCCGGGAGACGGGTACACCACTTGGCAGAATCACAGCTCAGAGAGTTGATTGGCTAAGAGGGAAGAGCAGGAACAGAGAAAGCCGGTAAACAGAATAAACACAGGATGTCCCGTCGGACTGCATGCTTGGCTCGCTTGAGCGTTTCAGAGAAATGGCTCCAACTTTCAAACATGGGGACTCTGAGCCGCCGGGCTGGAAAACGGGATTAATTTTCCCCGTCGGCAGGGTAACACTTCCGCCCCTTTGGGTCACTGCAAGGCCAAACGCTGGCAGCAAAAATTTCAAGAGCGGCGACGGGCTCGACCCGGCCTGCGAGATACTACCCCGGGGGCCCTTATCAGTGCCCGGGGGCCTTTTCCCCGTGGGAGCATTGAGCGCTGCCAAACAGAGCCTAAAAATACACACGGCGGCGGGTGAAACCCAGGACTGCATGACGACGGGGGCGGGGGGGCACGACAGCGATGCCGCCGATACCTGGCCGAAGATACGATGCTGGGCACTTTAAACGTAATGCGATACGGTACGATGTGAAAAAACAGCACGCCTTCAAACAAACTAAAACCACCTCTTACACTGTGTCAGTGTTGATAATGCACATTAACATGCAGCCTGCATGTATACAAGTTAACTACACATCAATTAATCAATGTACACATAAATTCTCCACAAGTTTTAATTTATGTATATTGTAGGGCTGTCAAAATTAACGGGTCAACGCGGATTAATCCATCATCATGATTAATCTGATTAAAATTTTTAACGCAATTAACCCATCTGCAGCACAGAATGATTCAAAATCCCTGAAATGTCTCGGTCAACCCATGTTAGTTGTAGTTTTATACTGTTTAAGCTCTACGTCTCATTTGTGGCTCATTAAATCGGTCACACACACTATACCATCCAACTTACCTGTGGACGTGTTGCTACGGAGTTTTATACGAAAAGCACCGTGCGTAATGTGTTATCAACTGATAATGCTAACAATGGCAATTAACTGGGCTAGACTTGGATTTCATGATTAGTCGGATTTATGGTAGTTCGGGCTAATTGTAAGTGAACGAAGATAAAGACCATTTAAACTGAGGTACCTTAAATCCGACAAGTTGTCTGGCTAAGCACTTCTGTGGCAGATGGAATGCATCCGACTTGTGTTCAATAAACATGTTAAGTGCATATATATTCCCTTTTTTCAAGTCTGTTTGCTCATGCAAAATTAAATGCGATTAATATAGATTAAAAATGAATGATATTTAATTGTGATTAATCTAAATTAATCACAGGGTTGCTGTGGATTAATCTGATTAAAAATTTTAATCATTTGACAGCACTAGTATATTGATTACAGCCATAACAGGCAGAGAGACTGGATGGATCAAATGTTAATGTTCGTTTATCCATCCATATTCTGTAACCACTTATAAATAAAAAAAAACAGTGTATGTTTACATGGCTCCAGACACAAACGGTTCTGTAACAGAAGCCCCAGACATGCCCATAATCATATTTAATGATAACCATAATGATCATGTCGACGTGAGACTCTTCACTTACAGGGAGAGGTTCCCGGTTGTCCATGACTTCGGCCAGCAGGGGGCTTTTCTTGACCTCCCTCTTCCTCACTCCACGCCCATCCCGGCCCCCGGGTTCACCCTTGTGGCTTCCCCCCTCCTCTGGAACGTTCTCTTTGTCGATGTCGTCTCTGGGAACACGGGATCCCCTTATCAAAATTGGCAGCAGGCATGGGGTCGCGTCCCACCGATCAGCTCAGAGCCGCGACCCCATGCCCAAACGGCAGTCCGCCGTATTTATACAAGTCACCCATGTTTTCCTGCACCTTAATTATATCTGTTTGTAGCCACACTATTGACATCTCCTGTTATGTGGCCCTAATCCCTGTTTTCGGACCTTGGTTACTGTCTGTCGGCAGGGATTACCCCCAGCGGCTTAGCGGCGAGACACCGGGTGACGCCCATGATGTCGCCCACGATGCCGGCACGGAGCTGGCGCCAAGATGGCAGACGTACGTGCTCATGCTTCTCTGCCCCTCGTCACGCTCCTGCAGGCACCGGCGCCTCTGCCTGGCCGTCGCATGCCGCTGCGGGTCCTCCGAGCCTCGCTCACCATTGGCACAGACGTTGAAGAGGTGATGCTCAACCACAGAGTGGATGGTCCTCTCAAGAATCCTGCTGGGGGTGGTCAAGTGTCAGCTGATGACACAGATTTTTGTTTAAAGAAGTCTGTAAAGGACCCACTACAATACTTTGACCAATAAACATCAATGAGTGACAGAATAACTCTGGGTTTTGCTAAAATTGGAATCAATATCAGTAGGACAGTTAATGACAAGCATGCAGTAATGGTTACATAACACACCACAGCAGCGACCACAAGATGAGGGAACTTACTCTGCAGACTGAGCCTGGCAGTGGGCAGATGACAGCAGAGAGCTGGGGGGGGAGGGGTGGCAGAGACCAGTTAGACCGCACGTACATCAGTACACCGAGGATCAAAACAGAACAACCCCACACATCAACTGTGAACAATGATCAATCTCAAATCAACAGGCCTCTCATATAAACACCACCCAGGGGAAGTGTCCACTAGGTGGCAAAGTGTTTAAGGCACCAGTCGACACATGTTGCTCTGGAATGATGTTCAGCAGGCTCAGAGGTCAAGGTCGCTTCGAAAAACAAGCGACCTCGAGCTGTAATCTGCGGCCTTCACGTCGGGCCCGTTTACAGCGGCGGCAGCGGCGTCGTGAGGTAAACAGATTATCGGGGACGGGATCATTTAGTCAGGATTACGCAGGAGCGTACAGCCCACGGAGGCGAGCGGAATGTCCGACGGGGAGGGAGGGACTGTGAAGCTCAGGCCTAAGTGAAGGCTGTGCTCTCGCCCTTCAGAGGATGAACGCACGGCAGAAATCCCCGCAAACCTGGTAATATTAAACCGCCCGGCTCCGGCTCTGACGATGACGATAACATGTTAGGCTGCACATCACCACCCATCCAGAGTGAGGGAATCCAGTTCCTGTACGAGCGGCAGCTGAGTCAGTCCTTTGTCATCCAGGATCATCGCCATACTCCCCCCCTTCACTGCTTTTTATGGTCATTAAAATGTGCTTGGGGGGGGGGGGGGGGGAATAAGAGAATAGAAGTGTTGACATGGAGTGTAGGCTGGTGCAACTAACGGGAATATTAGCCGGACATAAGTTAGCATACGGTCAGGGATGACTGGGAAGGTTTTCTTGGTCACACTAGGAGCCCCCACCAGCAACCCCCCCCCCGCTGCCCACCACTGCCAGAAATCATCGGCAGGTAGTATAAGACTCCACAAGCTGCATATTACAGTCATTCATTACATAACCCTGAAAGTGGGTGGGGGGTACTGTAAATTCCGTCCAATTACAGTGAGTGTGGGCGGAGCTACAGCCGACCATACTGTAGTTTACAGGCTATAAATGGCTCTCTTTGCAATGTGGGAGTAAACCTGAATTGAACAGCAGAGGATCTTTAACCCCCCTGCCCGCCGCCTCACTGTTTGCACTCCTGAGAACACCTTCAGGGAATGAATCACTGTAAAAAATGGGACAAGCAGCATCATAAACCGGCAATCCCAAAATAAAAGTCATGGCATTTATGATAAGGACAAGAGAGAATCCTCAGGCCTGCAGGCAAAGCAGCCATCATAGCAGTATTTGGGCGATGTGGCCGCAAAGCCCCCCCCCCAACCCGCTGTAATCATAGACTGACCCCAGGCCACTTCTGAGAAAGCTCTGTGCCCCCAAGTTCCCGCCCCCTGAGCAGTATGGCCATCAGTTACACGGCACGGTACGGATGATTTCCCTCCCGAAAAACATGGCAAAGCCTTTCACCCACCGGGCTCCCAGTGAGCTGAGGTCACCATCTGGAATGGTCCGTCTACACAGTCGACTAAACCCAGCGTCCATCGTAAACCGTGACTCGCCCCATAACTATCATATTATCTAATTTGTGCCTAACACGGGGTGTAAAATAGCCCCACGGAAGCTACTAGAGAGACCAAACAACAGCTGCAAATGAAAACAGCTGTGTCACTGAAGGCCGCAGGGGACGGCTGTGAACACAGGCCGGTTGCCGATAGCGGACAACCCCCTGAACGCTCTCTGCAGACAAACTCAGAGCAAGGGTCAGTGGTATCCGAGGCAGGCAAATCTGTCTCTATTTATGGACGAGGGGAGCGAGGAATGAGGCAAGCCCAACGTCCAGCAGTCACGCCTGGACGGCAGCCCCCGCCAATGCCTGCCCACAGGCCCAACGCCGAGCCAGGGCTCACGTGGCGGCCCGCCTGAGGAGCAAAGCAGGCAATGTGCGGCCACCAACCCACTGAGCAAACAGCGGCCATGCAGCAGGCCGCGAGAACTTTAACCCATAAAGCTCCATAAAGCCGGGTTCAACCGGTCCATGCAGGAAATTCGAAAGCCAGGTAGGTAAGGAAACTGGATACGTCACAGTGACCCAGAAGCTCTTCACAGCAGCTTATCATCCCCCATGGCAAGCGTGACAAATCATGCAATAAATTCCTAAGAATATTTTACTGTTAGAAATTTATGAGGTTGTTGTCTGTCCTGAACTCAAGGCCGAAATCCCAGGAGGGGAACTTCTGTTGTACCTATGAGGAAGCTACTTAAAAGGAGTGAATGAGAGCGCAGGCTGCTGGTCACCGCCTGCAACTGCATCGGCTACCCTGATAAACTAGTAGGATCACAGGATAAACATGGTGGGGGGGGTGCAACGTGGCCCAACCCTCGGAGCGTCGTTAAGACAGGAAGTGACAGCCCCACAAAACAAAAGCAGCCATTGGTAAACAGGCCACAAGGCAAGGTCACTGGACAGAAACCCCATTCCCATTGGGTGTACTTACTGACCAATGAGAGGGGGCCCTGGATGTTTCCACTGCCCGGCGCCCCCCTCACCTTTCGGCCTTTCCGAAACGCCACACACCAAACCGCCGTACCCATTGCTATGTTTTTGTTGCACTCTCTCCAGTTTCTCCTCGCATTTTTTCCATTTCGGTTCTGACCGGAGAGCAGGGAGCGATAAGGACAATCGGGTCGGGGCTCACCTCACGTAGAAGGGAGACATGGGCCTCTCATCTTCATGGAAACTGGGGG